GAGAGTGAGAGGAGAGAGAAAGGGAAAAGAAGGAGAGAGAGGGGGAAATAAGGGAGTGGCGGCTCACATCATAAAGTGAAGGGTTAAGTGTTTTAGGATTTTCTCTTCTTTTTTTTTTAATTAATATTCCGACGGAATATTAATTCGTCAGAATATTATGGACTTCCGAGGGAATATTCCGTCGGAAATTTCCGACGGATTTTTATTCCGCTGGAAATTTAACTTTCCGTCGGAAGCCTATAGTTCCGAGGGAATTAATTTCCGTCGCAAAAATTCCTACGGAGTTTTCTGACAGACCCTAATTCCGTCGGAAATTTTAAATTTTCCGACGGAATTTAGGTCCCTCGGAACGATTCCGTCGGAAAACAGTCTATTTCTAGTAGTGAAATATCTAAAAATTACAGAAATTCACAAAGATAACACTAGTGTAACGATGATCAAACTTGCATTTTCTCCAAGCCGACAACAACCAACGTGAATATGAGAATAAAGATGTCCCGTAAGACTCAAACCTTGATACACTGTCAAAGGCGTGTATACACTTTCCTAAAGAGGTTTATTTCCCGCCACACGGTGCTTGGGTTAAACCGGAAATCCTCTTTGAGATACAATTGACAGCAAATTTCGTTCTTAGCGCTAGAATCGAAATACGATGAACAATTCACAAATTTGGCTAAATTTCTAGAATTTTCTCACAAAGGTTTGCAAGAAGTTTGTTAGAAAAGATGTGGAGAATATTTTTTGGGAGAGAAAAACTGAAAAAACTATCTATCTCACATTCCTTCTCTTCTCTTCAAAATAAAAAGAATCGAAAGAATAACCGCAACTCCCGCCGGGACGCGGGCGCGGCAGCCCAACTCACGGGCGAGGACAGAGTGACTTACGATTCACTCAAAGTTTCTGGAGATGGCTCGCCGCGGGCTTGGAGAGGGCGTGGCCCACCCACCGCGGGCGCGGCCCCTGTTCTCCACATACACTCTAAATATCTAACATAATTAGCACTCCCTTTGTCTTTTAGTTGTTTCATATTCACTTGCACATTTTTCAGCTTTGCTTCATCAAAAAAGAAAGTTAGCATACAAGCCTTGTTAATACAAGGCCAAGCAAATAAACATGACATCCATGTAGATGTAGTGAACAACCCAATAGATTCAAATACCCGTTAGTTAATAGAAGAAAGGAGCGAGAGAAGCTTATCATAACATTGAATGGTAGTAGGAGCCTAGTAGGGTTATAAACTAAAAGCTCCGTCCTTGCCTCGAAAAATACAAATTTATCTTCTTGATATACAAAATTTATTTTTTAATTGGCAAAAGTGTAAATAAATTAGCAATTTTTTGCCAGATATTGTATAATGATCCTCATGTTAAAGATACGGTATTTCACATCGTCCCCGATCCCTCATTTCCCTCCGCTATCTTAGGCTGATGGTTGAAACCCAGCTTACGTTGGTTCCAATACCATGTTAAAGGACCAACTTAACCTGATGGTTGAAGCTTACGCAGGCTCCAATATCATGTTAAAGGACCAATTCAACCAAAAGCTTAACCTCACGGTTGAAACCTAGGAATATGTTTTATACTCTATCACACATTCACACCGCCTCACACAAGAACCTGTTGAGCTTAAAGTGTGAATGCAACATGGAACCTAGCCTCCTCATATCCAGCGCTCCACTTTAAAGTGGGGGGTGGATGAGATTTGAACTTGTGACCTTTGTGTCACGCTACCTTCGATACCATGTTAAAGGTCCAACTCAACCAATAGATTAAACTAATGATTGAATCCCAAGAATATGTTATATAATCTATCACTCCCTAATCAAACTAAATTTTGATGAATTAATTTGCAGCTACGTACAACTCTAGTAACGTACTATAGCTACTAACCAGGAAAAACCTTTAAAAACGAAGATTGTAAACCTTTCTTATCTCGTAATTAACTAATTAAGCATCAGCAGCCAAAAAAAAAGTACTATGTGGAATAGGTTCTTTATGTGATTATCGGTAACACTTTCATTCGCTTATACTTTATAAATGTAAACTTTGGTCCCCTTCTAATCCTATTGTCACTCTCTATTCATGCATGGTTACAAAAAATGAAACATTGAATATGTATAATATATTGTTGGACCAGTTTTATAGATTGTGATTTATGTATATCTATATGCTTAATATTATGTGCCTTTTTATATGAATTTAGCTCTACACTTTTGAGGTAGGGCAACCCATCTTTATGCCATTATCTATTTTATTTGGAGATTCTTTTTAATGGTAATGAGAGACCCTATTACTATGACTTCGATTCAACTCTCATGACTTATTGGTCTTGTGATTAGGGGCAAGACACTTGAAAGTACGGAAAATTAAAAATAGTGCGGATTCACCTTCAAACACCTATTTTACATGATTCGGAACTCAAACTTCTAAAATTTGAGATAAGAACCTTAATAAGTAAAGTCTTATTTCTCGACCATTTAAGAGAGTTAGAGTATGATTGTAATGACACTTAAGAATTTGAATCGCTATTCATCGTTCGCAAATTACTGGGTGACGTTCACATTTTTAATTGAAATGACATTTTTTCCCTTGTGGGTATTTTATCTATTTAAGGGTCCACCATGGGTAAATTTAGTTACCGACAACATTAATAACATTACCGAGCCCACCACTTGTGTTAAAAAAATCCCGAGCATTAAAAAATCCCGGTTCCACCATTGTACGGTAATCCCGAAGAATTTAAAAATCCCGGGCCAGAAAAGGAATGTACGGAGTGGTGTTTTACGATGGACGACGACAACGTTCACACGCCGGAGGGTTCGTCGGAAGAATCTGTAAGTATTTCGGGAATTTTATTTTTTTTTTAAAAGGGACATCCGCTTTTTTTTTTTCCGGAAATGTGGGGGAGATCCGCCCAAGATTTCCGGATGTCCCCAATTACATTCGGAAATTTCATCCGGATGTGTAAATTTCAGGCGGATGTACACATCCGGATGAAATTTCCGGATGTAATCAAGGACATCCGAAAATATTGGGCGGATCTCCCCCACATTTCCGGAAAAAAAAAGCGGATGTCCATTTTTTTTTTGTTTTTTTTGTTTTTTTTCGTAATTGTTATTGTTATTATTATTATTATTATTATTATTATTATTATTATTATTATGGTTATTAATATTAGTTTTGTAAATTTTGTAAATTTATGTTATGATTATGATTATTATTAATATTAGGAAAAATGTAAACTAATAATCCCACCTTTACTCCATCTTCCATAAACAATCCCACCTTTTGAAATTCCAGAAACAATCCCACCTTTGACGAGGGTCTTCCACTAACAATCCATAACCGGTTAAATTATTTTGGTACCTGGTTTTACTAGGTTATGAGACACGTGTCGACTTTTAGTTGGTTTATTCTATTTTTTATAATTAAAAAAAATAAAAAAATAAAAAAAACAAAACCCCTAACCCCCGCCATTGTTATCGGGGCTAGCCCCACCCCCGCCCCTCCATATCACTGTCGCAGCCGCCTCTCTTCCTCGGTAACCCAACCTAGGCGTCCGACTTAATCTCAACTTCTCAATGATCTCTTCGTATCTTCTTCTTCTCCTTCGCTAACTTGAGGAAGGTGGCTGAGGTCGAGTTTTTCGAGGCTAGGGTTTGGGTTTTCAAGGATGGGTCGGGTTTTTAGGGGCTGGGGATGGAGTTTTCAGGCTTCAAAGCCCAAAATCGACCCTTGATATTTCTTTTAAATTATTTTTGGGGCTAATTTAGGGGCTGAATTGTGGGTGTGAATTGATGTTGCAGCTATTGAATTGGAGGTCCGGCAGTTGTAAGTGGGCTGCATTGGAGGCGCGTTGATACGGCGTTGTGAGGTGGGTTAGGCGGTGGTTTACCGGCTGTTGCAGAAGCTGGTTGCTTGTTGTGAGCTTCTGTTGCGAATTTGTTGTGAGAAAGGTGCGTGAGTCGTGGCTGGTGCGATGGTTGTTGGCTGCAGTAGTAGCGCGGCTGCTTTCGGTTGCCGCTGGTGGTGAAGTGGGAGAAGGGCAACAACATGTTGTTGGTGCTAGGTGAGGTGTCAATTTGGTGAGCAGGTAGGCTGCTATGGTGAGTGAAGGAGCTGCGTGGGTGGAATGGTGGTGGACTGGTGGTCCAAGGAGAAAGACTAAGAAAAAAAATTATTAACCGGTTTAACAGGTTGTAGGTCAAAAGGATCATTAGTGGAAGATCCCTGTCAAAGGTGGGATTGTTTCTGAAATTTCAAAAGGTGGGATTATTTATGGAAGACGGGGTAAAGGTGGGATTATTAGTTTACAATTTTCCTTAATATTATTACTACTATTATTTTTACTATTGTTGTTATTATTATTATATTTGTTATTATTTGTTAATGTTACGTAGTTATTGTTGTTATTATTATTAGTATTATTATTGTTATTGTTATTATTATTATCATTAGTATTATTATTGTTATTATTATTATCATTAGTATTATTATTGTTATTGTTATTATTATTATTATTATTATTATTATTATTATTATTATTACTATTAATACTATTAATATTATTATTGTTATTATTATTGTTAAATTTCAAATACTAATCCTTGCGTGTTTTATTTGTTTGTGTTGTTATTTTGATAGGATTCGGAGGTTGAAGATGACGGTGACGTTGTGAATTACAGTTCACATTTTGTGACAGACACGGTTTTTCTAACGTTTGACGATGCAGTTACATGGGAGGATGCTGTTGCAATAAATCTGGGATTTATTTTGGTGAAATCGTCTTTCAACAAACAGAGGGATGGTCGACCAGTTTGATATTTAAGATGTGACCGGGGACGCAGGAGTAAGCCGAGAGATCTTGAGAACGCAATTCGGAAGGACACCAAAACCAAGGGCATTGGTTGTCCTTTCTACATCAAGATATGTTACGAGTTCGTCACCAATACTTGGTTTATCCGGGCGAAAGATGATGTAACTGGGACCCACAACCATCCAATGATTGCGTATCCAGAGGGTCATCGTAAAATTAGTGGGTTGAGCCCGAATGCGAAGCAGGTTGTGCGTGACATGACGAATTCTAAGGTTGCACCGCGTAACATCATGGCGACTATTGCGGAGCAATTTCCTGATGATCATCCAAACATCAGACACATCTACAACTGCCAGAATGACTTCAGAGAGGAGATGTCTGATGGGAGAGGAGTTGTTCAGCAATTTCTACATTTGGCGAGACAGAGTCAGTATGTTTACTGGGTCATGTCCGATGATGAAGGCGTTTTACAGCACGCCTTTATGGCGCATCTAGTCATGGTAGACATCCTGCGGACGTACCCCTATGTGATCGGTATGGATTCCACTTACAAGACTAACCGATACGGGATGCCGTTCTTTGAGATAGTTAGCGTGACACCGACAAATCAGAATTTTCTTGTCGCTTACTTGTTCATGCGCAACGAGAGCACGGCAAGCTATCGATGGGTTTTGCAGAGGTTGAGAGACGTGATTGGGTATGATAAGGAGCTCGGTTTTCTTGACAGACCGTGAGCTTGGGCTATGTGCTGCATTGAGGGAAGTGTTTCCAGGAACCTCGCACTTACTTTGTCGATGGCACATTAACAAAGATGTGGAGGCTCGGGTCACTGCTATGTTCAAAAGCAAGAAAATCGGTGCGTCTTTCAAAAACGGAAAATGAAACGTATCATGGACGCTGCTACCGAGGAAGATTATAAGGCCGATGTAGAAAAAATGAAAGATAAGTGCGCAAGTTTTCCAGCAGTGATACAATATGTAGAGAACACATGGCTTTGTCATAAAACGAAGTTCGTGACATTTTGGACAAACCAAGTTCTACATTATGGCAACACCAGCACTTGCAGAGTTGAGAGCCAACATTCGGCCGTGAAGATGTGGTTTGATTCCTCGACAGGTTTGGTGTAAGATTATTGAACTTCATGTATGTACTTTATTTTAGGAATTTGAGTTACAAATCATAACGGTTATTCTTTGTAATGTGCAGGTTCTTTAGATATCGTATGGGCTCGAGTTCATAGCCACATTGGTAATCAAATCATCGCAATTCGTAATGGTTTGGAGGCTTCTAGGTCGAAGATAGGTCAAAAGTACCGACAGTTGCCACTGTCACATATAAACGGGAAGGTGTCTCAGCATTGTTTGAAGGTTCTCAATGAGGAGACAAGGAGGATGAGGGAGCTGAGTTATCAAGTGCACGAACGATGTGGATGTGAAATGCGTGTGACCCACGGGTTGCCCTGTGCATGCCAGATACATGATTCGCTAGCTACTGGGACAGAATTGTACATAAGGCAAATTCACCCGTTTTGGAGGACCTTGGTTATTGGTTCTGGAGATGGTGGGACGGTGCCTGGCAATGACTCGACCGAGGATGCCGCACATTTTCGTTCTCTGATGGAGGAGGTGTTTGATAGTGATCCTGCTGTTCTTCGAAACATGTCTCGCATCATTGAAGAGGAGCTGCATCCGGATCATTCCGATCTCAGAGAGCCTGCTGTAAACCACCGGGTTCGTGGTCGACCAAGAAACAATGATACAAGACGTGATCGTTCTTATTTTGAACATGTAAACCGCCAACACACTGAACGCGGCGCACGACAAACAGGTACGATTGAGTGTTGTGTTTTTAACATAAATCAGCGTTCACTAAACTATTAACTGAAACCTACATTTGTGCAGGAGATGTAAACGACATTAGCCAAAGCCGTTATCGACACATGCTTCCAGGGCCGATGTTGCCTTACATCACAGGATGGAAGGATGTCATTGGCGATGGGAACTGTGGGTTTCGTTATGTGGTCGAGTTCTTCTTCGGTGATCAAGGCCGATGGTATGACGCTCGAGAGACAATAGCGAATGAGGTCCTCGGTTATCGAGCCCTATATGAGAGGATTTATGGGCTTGGAAGACTTGAGATCAATGTGCAGCGTATTCGATGGGACGGTGGGGCGGTTGATTCCCGTCATTGGATGGTTGCAATACAAGATTTATTTCCTATTACGACTTGGTTCAACGCAGCGGTTATTATTCTTGGTGTAGGCCAAACACCAACTTGCTACTACCCATGCCTCACGATATTGCCGTTGCGAGCAAGAAGGGGGGTCACAGCACCGGAGCGAGAGTTTGTCATCGCTACAGTTGGGGCCTCACACTTTATTTGTATTGAACTTGCACCTGATTCGCCACTTCCCCCGGTTGCAGGTTGGTGGACCGAGCACCAAGACCCAAGTGTTGACGGTTGGGATCAGCGTTACGAAGCTAGAAGGAACATGTGGGATGCCTTAATTAGATAGTGAACATGTTGTTGTACTTTCATTTATGTTAAACAGTTGTCGTTATGTAATTTGCAACGAATTGAACTTAATTAAACAAAATATTTACAAAACCACCAAAACAGTTGTTCAATACTTAAAGTACGTGACGAATAAATAGTACCTAAACGAAATGCGTACAAGGGAAATAAAAAAAATAAACAGGAAGTTCACAACCCCATCATCGCCCTCCAATCAGCTCGTAGCGCCTCAGCCATTGCTCTTGTATCACGCGATAGGCTCGGATACTCCTCCAGGGTCCTATTGATGACCTCCATAGACCGACCCATCCACTTCAATTAAAAAAACAACATATTAAATAAATCACAAGTTTTTTTAAAAAAAAGCAACATATTAAAAACAACATATTAAAAAAATCGAATTTTAAAAACAACATATTATAAACAACATATTAAAATAGCAACTTATTAAATTATACCAAAAAATACAACTACTTACGTAATCCGTGTTAGTTCTCTCTGGCAGTGTGCGACTCTCATGTGATGACGCAACTGGAGAAACACGTGGATGAGAAAATCGGTACAGCCACTGCATGTAACCAGGACTGACCGTAGGAGCACCACCACCAAGTCTGCTGAGGGCACAAACCACGACACTAAAAGACATACCAGGGAAAAACCGAGTCCACATCACAGATGTCATCTGTGGCGGAAAGTCAACCCGATACATCTTCAAGTTCGTCGGTCTCTTAGCCTTCTCAGGCCTGATAATGGCTGGTGGAATGCCCTGGACGTATCCAAGTTGTCGAACCACTCGATCAGGCATGTATGGCTCAATGATGCTACGATACTGGATGCAGCCAATGAAAAGAGTAGCAGGCACGCGTCGTGCTGGATCAACTCCGTACGGTAGCCAATTAACTTCATTGTCAGTCAAATGATCCAGCCTAGCCCGAAAAGCGAGAAGGCGCTCCATGCTCTTGTTAGGGCACCCCGATCCAACATCCCAGGCGGAAGCACGAGGAATAGAAAGCTCTCTGGTCAAGGTCCCCTGCTGAGGTCGGAAACACGGAAAGTACTCGTAGATCCACGCCTGCAGAAGCGTAAGGCAGCCAGCGATAGAATCAGCATCTCTTCGTGATGCTGTACCCAATTGCCGGTACATGTATGCTAGCACAGCAGAACCCCAGGAGTACTCACTAATCTGAACATCCTCAACAAACAGCTCGTTAAGGAAGGAAGAATGAGTACGGTTTCCACTCTTGTCCAAAAACAAACAACGGCCGAGTACTAACCACAGGTACGCCCTGTAATGGAAACTGAAGGGCCTATGCGCCTCCAAGGTCGACTCCACTATCCTCTCAGTCAGGACCCCACTACCCTGCCATACGGTTTTGGTACCGCACTTCTCATTCAGCTCTTCCTCAGTCATATCCAAGGTAACCGAGCACGCGTCCCGTAAAACGTCCGTGCTAGGAGTAGTGGAAACCATGGAACCGTCGACACGAAGCCCTAGAATATGATACACATCATGCAGCATGATCGTGATCTCCCCAAAAGGCATGTGAAACGTGTTCGTGTCTGGTTGCCATCTCTCAACAAAAGCAGAAATTAAGGGCCAGTCAAATCGCCGGAACATGATACCGGGTAAATGAGATAGACCAGTGCCATCAATCGGTTCCAGGTGCTCCGGCGGAAGACGAGCGCGCCAGTTACCCAATTTAGAACACAACTGTGTCCTGCTCAAACACCGCAGCACGTTTCGCTCCTGCCCACCCCATATGTAGGCAGACACGTGACCCCCAAAACTCGGAATAACGGTACCATCCTCAAGCCCACCTGGCATCGGCTCCTGCACCACCCATGACTCTGACGAGCTGGTAGAAGCTTGACCTGGTTCACTACTGCTAACATATCTCCCATGGTCACCCCTATACACAGTACGGTAATCCTGAGGGTCGTACTGTGCATCTCCAGCAGATTGACTTCCTCGATCTTCATCCTCATCCTCATCTGATGAAGGCACTCTAGTAGACGAATACATGGGGGCGCTCCCCTGTGACTGGTGCTCCCCCGACCAAGCACCAGCAGTCCCATACTGGTGCTCATGCTGAAATGGTGCATGTGAAGGTCCTGCACCACCTAACTCCCTCCTAACAGACGCATTCAAACGTCTTGATCTTGCATGACGAGGACCAGAACCCTCAATCTGCATTAAAAAAATAAGTACAGAATCATATTTCAATAATAATTCATAGTCAAAAAAATCAAATCAAAACTATAATAAATCAAATCAAATAAACAATAATAACAGCATTACAAATAATAACAATAATATTATTCTTACAATACTAATACACTACTAACAATAACAACACACTAACACACTACAAATAATTTTAACACGATAGCAGACCAAATCAAAACTATAATTAACCACAAAACTGTCAAAATTTAAACGCAACAACGACAACCCAATAAAAAAAACAATTACAATAACAATAACAACAATTTAAGTAAACAACCATAATACATAACAACAACAGCAGCAAAAACCAATACAAACTAAACCAAATTTACAAAACAATAACAATACATAGCAACAACAAACTTATTAAAATTAAATCAAGAATTATTGCTAAACTATAATTATTGTAAAACTAAATCAACAAAAATTACATATCAATAACTATTGCAAAACTAAATCAAGAAAAAAATTATTTTAAAGCCACAAATGAAGGACACAAATTACTTCAAAAAAAAATAAATAAAAAAAAATGAAGGACACAAATATTTTCAAATTAAAACATGCACCAAATCAACAAAATCGAGGACAAAAAAAAAATAAGAAGAACATAAATTAAAAAACAAAGGAAAAACAGAAAAAACAAAAAAAATGTGGAAAAACACAAAAACCAAAAAAAAAAAGGGAAAAACAGAAAAATAAAAACAGGGGAATAACAGGAAAAAAAAAAAAAAAATGGACTTCCGCCCAGAAAATCCGGAAGTTCCCCTGGACTTCCGGAATTTCTGGGCGGAAGTCCAGTTTCCAAAATATTTTTTTTTCAACATTCAAAATTTAAAACAAAAAAAAAAACTCACCGGCTCCCCGCCGCTAACGCCACCACCACGACCACCAAACGTCAGCCTGATTCTCCGTCGGTCTGCCATTGTCGGATTCAACGTTTGATTGCAAGATTTGCTTGCGTTTGAGTAGCCTTCTTGGTTTTTTTTTTTAAAAAAAAAAATTCTGATTTTTTTTTTTTTAAAAAAAAAATTCTGATTTTTTTTTTTTTTCAAATTTTCAGATTTTTTGGAAGGTTTTAGAGAGAGAAAGTGTCAAAGAGTGATTTTGTGAGATGGGAAATGTCTCATAAAGCCCTAACTTACTTTATCAAGTATTTATATACGGAGGGCAATTTAGGAAATTCATGTAAAAAATGTGAACGTCACCTAGTAAAATGTGAACGACGTTTAACAACACCCTTAAGAATTTGTACCCCCACCCCAATCAGTTTAGAAGGGGCTAATTAGCCCAACTAAATTAGTGGTACTTAGGCAAACAGTTGTCTTCAGGCCCAAATATATTTGGAAGTCAACATTGCATAGTTTATGTTGCTTAATGCTTATTATTAATTTATTATGTTGTCCATTTATAAAGCTAAGGTGGTACAAATTTAAAGGGCATCCCTATCTTTTAAAAAGTACTCCCTTCATTTTTAAATACTTGCTCTATTTCTACTTTTTATACTATTTATGTATTCTACTTTGACTAATGTTTGTGATTTATACCTAAGAAAAAAATAGTCTTGTGAGTACTTGCTGAAATCGTCTCAATGAATTGATTATTAATTTTCAATTGTTAGAATTTATACTTATTAATAATTAAAGATATAATTGATCAAAGATTTGCATCGACATACGTGCCCAGGAGAAATGGATCAAGTATTTAAAAAGCGAACAATTATATCCTTAAAAATGTTTGTTTACCTATATGCCCCTATTAATATGATGTTAACTGCATCTAAATTTTTTCTTGTGTAATTTAATAATTAACTCTTTTGAATAATGTTTGGACGATTGTACCCTCTAAAATGTTTATTTATTTATTTGCCCTCATTAACGTTAATTGTTTTTTTTTCAAAAAAAAAACTTAAAAATAGTGTGCGGACATTTATACCTCTAAAATATTTGTGTGCATATATATGTTGCCAAAATCTAAAAGAGCTTCCTAGAAATGGCTAGCTATTGCGCATATCACTCAAGTTAACCACCCTAGTATTATTAAGTCCTTTAAACATCAAGATGTATTTTTATACAATGTACATACTTATGGAGTATACTATATATATATAGCCAATATAGGAGAAATAAAGGTCTATTCTTATGTAATTAATTACTAGAATGTAGGCGCGGCATGTATTAATTTGCAAAGGAAAACAATATTAAAATTATCTTTGTTTTCTCAATTGAAATTTTCTAAAAAATATTTTAATGGCCGATTGGTAATTTTTTGCTTGATAGATATATTACAAATGTGCAGTGCAATAAATTTGGTTGCTATGGTAATATAATGTGGCAAGTGAGGTGGCACCCTGAAATGGAAGCATTTGGAGGAGAGTAAACCCTAGATGGCAGACAAGTTCAACAAATTGGATTTGATTTGGGTTAGATAATTATAAGCTTATTAAAAAGATCCACTTTAGCCCACATTAACATTTTTTTTTATGTTGGTTTTAATTGGGTTGATTTCAAAGCTTTAGACCATGTTTTACTTAAATCTGATCTCTTTACTTAGGAGTAGATGAGTAGTAGATATTTACCTTTATTATTAAATTTATTTTACTTATTTTATATTTTTGTAGTCTTATTTTTGTTGTATGTGTAATTCCAATTCATATTATGTTCCGTAGACATATTTCCGTTTACTAGAATCTAATATATATATATATATATATAAATAAAGTAGGCATTTTTTTAAGAGCATTCGGCGCGCCACATAAGCAAAGGTATATTTTCGACCAATTAAAAATTAGATTTTTATTTTATTTTGAAATTAAAAAGTTTGTTTGCCACCTAAACAAAAGTGACGAATGAGATTTAAGAATTTTGCCACGTAAGTAAAAACAACAAATATTGATTTATTAGGATTTATTTATTTAAAAAACTAAAAATTATCTTTTAAAATAATCATCTTTAGATATAGGATTTATATACCTACTATTATAAGATAAATTTTGATAGTGTTTATGAGAAGAAATAAAAATTATTCCTCAATTATAATTAAATTAAAATTTGTGATATTTACCATTATAAATTGATGTACCATATGACACCAACAAAATTTCGTATCAATACAAAACCAAACCAAGCAAGTTTTTTGTCATTAATTTTGGGTTAGTTTTATTAGGTCATCAACGGCTGGGTAATTCTTAGCCTAATTTTTAAAACCCATGTTTAAATGTATATTTGTGATTATTGCTTAAATTGTGTTTATTTGGGATACTTAATAATTATATGTTTATGAGGTTTTATTTTATTTAAAAAAAATATATCTAAAGATAGTATCCGCATGTGCTGCGTTATTATTGATATGACTTTTAAGAGTTGAAAATAAAGTGTGTGTGTGTGTATATATGTATATATGTGTGTGTGTGTGCGCGCGCGTGTTAACAAAATGATTTTATTTTTAATTGAATTAAACATTATTGCAAAAGTAACAAAATTGGAAGAAAAAAAAAAGTAAATAGTATTATCGAAAACTAAGATGATACAGAGCAGTATTGTTTAATATTATTTACCTAAGATACTTTCATTTCAAAAAAAATAAATAAAAAAATTAAAAATATATATATAATATAAAATACTACGTGTATATAAAAATGTATTAGATGGGTTTATATGGAGAATTATTATTATTATGAATTTTAATTGAAAGAAAGATATTTTGAATTATTATAAAATAATTTCCTTCAAGAATTTGCGTAAAAACGGAAAATAAAATCAGCGGAAAATTTTTTAATCAGGAGATTACATGTGTCATTCCTAGTTTCACTTTTAGTATATAGTTATTGATTGTCATAAATTTGTGGTATTACAAAAAGTAGCAAAAGAACTTTCCTACTCCGTATATAAGTACTTTGTATAACTCTACTACGAGTACCAATTTTTGACATATCATGAAGCACACCTAAGTACCTAATTGTCCTAAATTGAAAATGTTCATAGATAACTAATAATAGAAAAATAATTGTGTCGGAACAAGAAAATAATGAAGCTAATTAACAATTTAAAATAATATAGCTACTAAACTAATTGGCATGGGTAAGGATAAAATTGATGAACCACCAACCTAATTAATCAAGTGGATTATACAAGTCAAAAGCTTGCAAAATATAGAGTATGGTGTTTAAGAGAATAATACCAAAAAAGAAAGAATAGGTTAGTACTAAAATTAGTTGAAAATCACGTGTATAAATAATTTAATTCATTTTGTAGGACCCTAAAATTGATGCCTCTTTCTTAGCAGTTTCATCAACTTAGCATTTTTTGACATTTTTATGTGACCTAAACCTGGGCACGGGCCGGGTTGGCCCGCGTGCCGCCCGGCACGGCCCGCCGTTCGGCGCAGCCCGGCACGGCCCGAATTCAAGCACGGCACGGCACGAAGTTCAACTCCCGTGCCACGGACAGGGTTGAGAATTCCCAGGCACGGCCCGGCACGAGCACGGGCATGGCCCGCCGTGCTGGCCCGCAGGCACGGCCTGCGGGCCAACGGTAATGTTACCGTTTATTCTAGCTCCTTAATAAGCCAAAAAAACGGCTAAAAAACGGCTAGTTTTTTGCCAATTTGCTCCCCAAAAATTCTATAAATACTCACCTCCATTTCATTCCCAAATCACAAAATCACAATCTCTTCTTCTTATCTCTTATATTCTCTAAATCTCTAATAATCCTTATTTTCTTAAATTCTTTAATTATTCTCTTAAATTCTCTAATTATTTTCCTAATATCGGAAAAAATTAAAAAGTTCGTAATTGTAATTAGTGGAGCGTTGAAGCACGGTTGTAAGATCTAAACTAATCTTAAATTTATTATTGTTTTATTGTTATTATTAGAATAATCTTGTTTAATTATTATTGTTGTTAATTGTTATTGTTGTTGTTATAATTGTTGTTATTAATTATTATTATTGTTACAATTGTTGTTATTATTTATTTTTGTTGTTATTGTTATTGTTATAGTTGTTGTTATTAATTAATATTATTGATATTTTTATTGTTAAAATTGTTGTTATTAATTATTATTATTATAGTTAACCACTTTTTATTAAAAAATTAATTGTTAATTATGGCATCGAACAACCCATCATCTAGGTCTAGGGGGAAAGGCCGACTTATCCGTAGTAGTAGTTCTAGGGAACCACCAAATACAACGAGCCCCCAAATTACGAGTCAAACCAATGACCCCATTTACTTCCCCCCGGGCTATGAGCCATATAATACGTCGGGATTTCCAGCACCACCACTAAACCAATTTCCACTACCACCATACCAATTTTCACCTAATTATATCGGTGATCAACAAAACTATTGTTCTAGCCAAGGTAGCCAAGAAAGTACCCGAATTCCCTCCGGTTCTACCCCTTCTACTGCCACTCCCACTAGTCCCACTACTAACCATCACACACATCATGAATGGTTAACCGAAACTGAGATGCTACTTTTGAAAAACCGAAGGAGTGAGGTATGGCGTTATTTTGTCCTAAGTAAAGATGGTGAACAATGGGCAAAATGTAAAACATGTAATAGTGTATTCACGGCAGTTACCAAAAATGGGACGGGACACTTATCTAGACACATGAAAGCTTGTGCAAAACCAGCTAGTGATCCAACCCAGCCCAAAATTTCCCAATTCCATCCATACGGCTTTACATACAACTATGAGAGGGATAGGGATGAACTAGGAAAAATGATAATACACGCCGAACAACCTTTTCTTTTCTCAGAAAGTGACGCATTCAACACCTACATTAACAAAGCACTACAACCCCAACATAAAAGAATCTCTAGGAAAACCGTTCGTTCCGCCGCAATGAAAAATTTCCTAGAGTACAAAGTCCGGTTACAAGCCGAATTGAGTAACCTTAACTGTAGAGTATCTTTAACAGCCGATTCTTGGGATAGTGGTTATAAATATCACTATTTATGTGTGACTTGCCATTGGGTAGATGATCAATGGATGTTACAAAAAAGAATAATACATTTCAAAATGCTGGAATACCCACACACCGGCATTAACATTGCTCACCATTTAATGCAAGCAATAGACGAATACAACCTTCGAGCTAAAATGATGTCTATGACTTTTGATAATGCAACCTCTATGACATACACAGCTAATCTTATCAAACAAAACTTAACCGATGTACTATTAGACGGTGAAGCTCTTCATACTAGATGTGTTTGCCATGTACTTAACTTATGTGTACAGGATGGAGTTCGGGCAATTGGCCCATACTACAGCAGAATCAGAGATGCTATTATGTCTATTAATAGCTCTAACATGAGATATCAAGAATGGAAGAGTTTTCTAAAACAACAAAAGATAAGGGTAATAAAAATTAGAACCGATTGCCCAACTAGGTGGAATTCCACCTATGACATGTTAACAAAGGCAATTGAGTACAAGGGCCCGTTAACATTATTTTACAACCAAAAATTTCCACAAAATGCTTTGTATGATGATGATTGGAATAACTGTGAAAGATATATGCAATTTTACAGTTATTATATAACATGACGTATTGTTTTTCTACTGTTTACAATCCTTGTGCTCAAAACTTTCTTTCTAATGCATGCTTACTCGCCCAACTTTTCGCTGATCATCGCCATCAAAGTGATTATGATCAGTATCTTCCAGCAATGGAAAAAAAGTGGCGTAAATATTATAGTGAGATTCCTTTGATTTATATTTTTGCTTCCATATTAGATCCTAGGCAAAAGTATGAAAACACATTTATGTTAGTTGACATTTACTTTCAATGCATGTTTCTTGACGATGATGTAGAAAACTATAAGACTAATGTGAAGGATCAGTTTTTTGCTTTATATAGAGTCTATGAAGCCAAATATGGCACCGTTCCTCGCTCAGGGCCTTCCCAACCATCCAAAAACGTAAGTAAGAAGGCCAAACATTTATTTTCACAAGCTAATAACTTGATTTCAAGGTTTTCAGGTGATTCATCAATCAGGAGAACGCAAAGCGACGTCTCGGAGTTGCAGATGTACCTGAGTTACGACTTCACCAAAGGCATGGACGACGATGAGATAAACAGCCTCGACCTCCTTGCATGGTGGAAACAACAAAGCTCGAAGCATCCAACTTTGGCGGCAATGGCACGAGACATTCTTGCTATCCAAGTTTCCTCCGTCGCCTCCGAACGAGCTTTCAGCGCATCCGGAAGGGTTTTAGACGATAGAAGAACAAGTCTAAAACTCGAAACACTAGAAATGTGCGTGTGTTTCAAAGATTGGTTGGATGCGGAAAATCGCTCACAAGACCGTTCTTACGACCACAACGACAACGAAGAAGGAACCTCCGCTTCCGGTTCGGGTTCGGCTAGTTCCCAATCTATGCAACTAGTCGATGACCTTGAAGGCGAAGACGAAGACGAAGACGAAGACGAGCAAGAAGAAGGAGAAGAAGAATAGACAATTATTGTATATTGTACGATTTTAAAAATATCAATTTTATCATTTTCCAATTTTTGTTTAATACCATCATTGTATGATTTTTATCATTGTTATCATTGTACAATTTTCTCAACTCAAGTAATAATAATATAAAGTACGCATTATTCACATCCAAAGTCCAATTTGCCTTTTTTCCCCGTTTTGTTACAATTTGTAAATTCATATTAAAAAAAATAAAATTATACCAATTACTAATAAATCATAAACATTAAATTTTAAAGTAATAGTATAAAGTAAATATATAAATATAAATATTGAATATACAAATTATAAAACATAAATATTTAACTTATAATTATAAAATTCATAACTTAATAACTTATAACTTATAAGTTATAAACTTATAAGTTATAACCTTATAAAACTTATAATTATAATTTTATAACTTATATAAATTATAAACTTATTAATTTATAATGTTGTCATATATTAAAAAAAAAAAAAAAAAAAAAAAAAATTATTTGAAAACTGCACCAGCCCGCAGGCCAGCCCGCAGGCCGGCACATGGCCGGCACGGCACGAGGGCCGTGCCGTGCCGTGGGCTGGCCTGTGAAAATGGCCGGCACGGCACGACACGAAATCCTGGGCCCGCCGGCACGGCACGAACCAGCCCGTGGCCCGCGGCGGCACGGCCCGGCACGGTGCCCAGGATTAATGTGACCCCACAAAATGGAGTCAAACCAAATGACAAATTTGTACACGAATTTTTTGCTATTTTATTTTATTTTATTTGTTTTGGAGATTTTTGGATTGTGATGTCACATCTAAAACTATTTTTTGAGGTGAAAAGGGGGAGCTTACTTGGCTTCGATTTTGCCACTTGTGATGTACATTAGCATGACTACAAAAGAATCACTCACCCCTTCAAATATTTCTTTAGGATCAAATTAAATGATCTTAAATTCTCCATCCATTATAAAATATACTCGTATTTTACTTGATGTACAATTTTTATGTAATCCTTCGTATTTAATTATGGATATTTTTAATTATTATGTATTAAAAGTTAACACAGAGTATTGTAAACTATACATAATGATAAAGACGAGGTAAACAAAAATTCCAAGTGTTTGTTTTTCTTTTAAAACTATTGTTTTATTTGAAATTTATAGTTTTCAAATGTGACTATCAAGTAGAAGCGAAGGGGATAACGCTTGTAACAGTATTAAAAGATATTCAACTGATTCTTTTTTAGACCAATTGATTGATTAAGATTGTAATCCAGAACAATTTTGTATGATCCAAAATATCCTATTAATTGTCCAAATTTATTGGACCTAACTGATCATGGCATTTATTGGGTTCATAATAGTCCAAATGCATGAAAACTACTAGCTACTTGAGTGGTGTCATTTTTTTTTTTTTTTAAGTTTTTTTCTCCATTTGACAAGTCAAATTGGTTGATCAAGTGAATGTTGAATCAATTAATTTAATTATTGTGGTTCATAGTGTTTAAACAAGTTCTAGTTATGTTTCGACAAAAGCAAATGAAAAGATCGAAGAGAAAAAATTGTCTTATACATCTAATTATGTGAAATCAACAATTTCATCAGTAAAAAAAAAATCAATTCTCCTGAATTTCTTAAACAAGTTCAAATCTAGACATCTAATTTCGGATGATCTTATTAAACTACTCTGTATATATGAAAATTTCATACTAAATCATATCCGCACACAAACCTAGAAGCAACAAGGCAAGATTTGAACCTTATGTCTTCTAGATTATAGGCAACCACCTTGGTAGGAAATACGAGTAGCCGAGTAGGAATTAGCCCAATATGTTGTCAATTGTCATGAACCCACTTTTTGTGAATCATCAATTTTCTTATCCAAAGCATATTCTTACCTTCTTTTTTTTCTTTTCTTTATTCTTATTACCCAAAACAAATGAATAAACCGCACTAGAACCAACAAAGAAACTCTCAAAATTAAACAATTATATCCATCCTTTTAACTACAATCCAAATGCCTTAAAAACACTCATGAAAGATTACATTGGAATACACTTTGCTTAAGTTAGATAATTTTATCATTAAGTTTAACAAATATAGTTAATTGCTCCCCCCACCATGTTATGATCATTTAAGCAAGAAATTGATTATAATTTCACTACCAGAACCTCAATTATATTAGTGCTGTAAGCCTGTAATGATGATGAAACTGATTTCCATTTATAACTACTTAACCTAAAACCTCCCAGTGTATGACTCTAAAGAGTTCATTATATATCCGGTTGTACCTAGCTGTCTGGCTCCACTCTAGTGTATAATGAAAATTGCAGCTTTGGAGGAAGTGATTGCATCATTGCAACAAGGTTGTACTTTAATAATGTAATAAAATGCAAAAATTCAAAGAAGCCTTGGTCTTTATCCATATTGTTTATCAAAATAATGTACATTGAGGATTGATACAACAACAAAATTGAAAAAAAAAAAAAAAAAACTTCTATTCTTTTTCTCTTTTGTACAACAAAAAGAACTAGTATAAAAATTAAACCAACATTTGAAGTATCTCAATTCTCAAAAGGGTAAACTTTGTTGACCCATTAATAAATCCCAAATCAACTCACCTCAAATTATGTTTGTTCTTGCTAATTCTCTTGCAAAACTTTAGCCAAATTGGAAGCAACCCTATGAATCTTCTCATTATCATCTTGAATTAACCCAAAACAAATCTCCAAAACTCCTTGATTTTTTACTTGTTTCTTCACTCTATCACTACTACAACAAATCAAATTCAATGTCATCAATCCATATTGAATCCCCCTTAAACTCCCATTTTTCACATAATGTACCAAAATCTCTACAACTCCATCACATTTCACTATCTCTTCTCTCCCTTCTTTACACTTAGCGAGCAATCCCAGCACTTCGATTGCTCGCTCGAGTCCTGATTTTGCCATTCTGATCAAAATCGGGACCGCCCCGCAGTCGACTGTCCTGCGGCGGTTCTCGGGGAAGGAAGAGAGAGTAAAGAGCGCGGTGGCAGCTTCTTTCCTCTCTCTTCCTCTCCCCGTGTGGAGGAGGTGAACAAGGCACCTCACCGCACCGGGGTGAGCCCCGATGGTCGCTTTGTTCACTTCCACCACAGCGAGGCTGGTGAGCACCGTTGCCGCAACCGCAGCGGCGGTGCTCCCCAGCGCACTAACCACCCTCGCCACCGCCCCCTCCGCCACCAACCCTACCTTATTATCATCCGACTCCAAACTCAAATTCAACAACAGCAACAACGCCTTCTCCTGCAACCCCGGGTCATTATCCGAGTCAACACACCTCAACACAGCAGACACTGCGCCCGACTCAGTGAGCCGCGCTCGGAACCCCGGGTTAGCCTTCGACAACCCCGTCAACCTAACCAACGACTCAACCTTCTCCTCAACCGTCGAACCCCTCGAGTTAAGCGTCGAGATTAGAGAACCGAGTTGACTCAGTGAGTCAGACCCAGACCCCTCCGAGTCAGACCGAGTTGGGGTGAGTTGGGTGGGTGCGTAGTTGGAAATGAGGCTGCGAAGGGCGTGGTTAGGGATGAGGGAAGGTGGGTCAGGGAGGGGTAGTTTGGTAATTGGACAAGTACGGTGGCCGGAGTCAATCCATCTTTGAATGGAGCTCCGATCAAAGGTGTGACCCGAAGAGAGGATAACCGGGTCGGACATTATATCGAGAGAAATGGGGCATTTGAAATATTCTGGAAGTTCAGTTGCCATTTTTTCTTTGGTAATAAGAAGAGATAAGGAAGAAGAAGGTGATGAAGTGAAGGGGTTTTTTGGGGTTTTGGTTTTGGATTCTGACATTTGGTTTTTGGTTTTTTTTAGGAGAGAGAAAATGGTAAAAGAGAGAGAAAATGAAAGGAAGAAAGAAAGAAGATTATAGTCCACTACATTTTTATATAGTGGAAAATAAATTTAATTGCATGAAATGGAAAGGTGACACGTGATCTAGTAGGTGGGATTTTTTTTGAAAAATGATTAAAATGCCCTTGTGATTTGGTGTGAATTTTTGATGGTTGTGTTTTAGGGTGAGAGGTAGTTCGGGGTTTTGGTGACGGTGGTGGTATTATTTGTGAAGAAAATTATTAGTTGGTTGTTTATGTGAGGATTAGTTAGGATTAGTAAATTTTTGGATTTGACTGTAATTTAATTTTGTAAGAAAAACAAAATAATAGAATGATATACAAAAAAGAAATTGATTTTATTGGATAAGATTTAGTTATTATAGGATTATTTCCTAATGTATGTTATAATGTTTTATTAAATATTCGTATTACACTATTACGAACATAAACTACTTGTATTGCGAAGTAGATCATTCTGCCATGTTATTGAGGTTTTGGAAAAAATTCAAGCTTGTTCTTTGCTAATAATGAATTCGCTACATACCTTTCTCAATCACCTAAAGAAGTTCATTGAAAACGTAAGGGATTTTATATATTTGAGGATTTTCTAAAGGATTGATGCATCCATGTATACGTCGTAAAACCTCTAAAAAAGGTGGTTAAAATAAGCACATGTAGAATTTAGTGTAAGAGGAAGAAATAAAACTTTGATGCAGAGTAAGTCCATACGGTGTAATACCCTAAATTTTTTCTATTTTAAGTTTCAGGACGAAACTTGTTTCAATGAGGGTAGATTGTAATACCTGTATACTTTATTTTATAAATTATAAAATTAGAGTTGTTGTATATTTTAAAATTTTATTTTCTTATCTTATTTGATAAAATTCTAAAATTTAATTCTTATCTTGGTCAAAAAAATTTTATGATAAAGTATTTATATCCTTTAACCCTACATTATTATTTTATTAAAAAAAAGAGAGAGAGAGCGGAGCCGGTTATTTATTTATTTATTTTTCTATTCTATTGGCTTATATGCTAGTTTCATAAATCAGTAAACCCAAATTTGATTTTCTTTAATGTTTTTGGTTTATTCTATAATCTCCACCATCACATTGATCTATATGTTGATTGCAAGCCGTGAATTGTGAAGTTGCCGACCTACTTCATCCCTTTTGTATATCATAGTTTTATTGTGATTCGTTGAAAGGTAATCACACCAATCTTAATCTTTGGAATTGTTTAATTATAAATTATTGTTGGTATTGATTGTACGACGTAATATTGTGTGTAAATTTTTATGATTTGTTGTTTATATGATAAAGATTTATATATACTCGTATGTGATTAGTGTGATGTATCTTGTATTATATGATTTAAGTGTCGTATCGATTGATTGTGTAATTTATGCTAGGGTTTTTAATGTTATGGCTCTAGGGAGTATTATTATTTGAGTTTTTAGGGTTACTAATATTACATTGGGTTGAGATTTAATTATATTTGGGTATTTTATGATACAAGTAGGTCATGTTATATTATTTGGGAACCCGTGCAATTATTGAGATATTGTTTATGAATCTGTGAATGATTATTTGATAAAAGTATGAGATCAAATAGGTTGAGAATTATTATTTTGTTCTTAGTTTGAGGCTCGATGTTATAAACCTTAGTCCTTGGCATGTTGGTAAGGAGATGATAATTATCAGTTAAGAATGAGGTACAATCTTTATTTATATTTTTCTATGGTCCCCTACAGTGGGATTTGACCCGTATGTTGGTCATGGTTGAAGGTGTTTTTCTGTTTATTGAAAGTATTCAAGTTTTTATACTTGTTGGTTTGTCATTCGAATTACCTATGTCCAAGGCTATGTATAGAACAAAGAGCATGACACACTTATGGGATAGATGAGTTGATTGAGTAAAGGCTTGTATTACTATTCGAGGTTGGGTTTGACAAAAGTTATTTTTAGAGTACGAAGTTATTTTACCTTGAGGTATGTGATGTAGTTTTAAACTACATTGTTTAAGTGAGCTAGTAATGCTAATTATTCTATTATTCTTTGTATTCTGATATGTGGTGATTACTCAGCTTTTTGCTGACGTGTGTGTTGTTTATTTTGCTTTGCTACTTGTGTTTGTGGCCATGTCTGTTTCTTATGGTGACCCTGCGACGATCTATTTTGGAATTTATCCTTAATGGTGATCAGACAATATTTTTAAACAGGTTGATCAAGTGACCATAGCTAAAGGAGCTCAAGTGTTTCGTTTAGTTTGTTATAACAAGTTTCTATAGTTGTATAAATAGCTCACTTAGATTATTAAGTTGTAATATTGGAATTTTGTAAGCCTTAGCACTTGACAAGTTGTTGAGTGTGGTGGTGATGTGATACCTTCGGTTTAGGTGTATGCTTCCGCAATTTTATTTAAAGGTTATTTATTTTTCATTTAATTTTATTATTATTTTTAATTAGTAAATCGGGGGTGTTACAGTCGGGTTATGTTACTTTTTAAAAGTAAACGAAAGGAAATTGATTAAGATTTTGTACGAAATTATGAAGCAAAACATATTAAACGAATGAGTTTGTCAGCTAAAGATAACAATTAAACAATATAATGAACTTGAAATTATTGATATACCAACCAACAATTGCAAAGCATATCATAGTTTAAAATTTTAAATGATTAAAGAAAATGTGGAACACAAATGAATATAAATTGCTCTGATATCATGATAAACTGGTTATATTAATGAGAGGACTTCAAAGCGAAAGAATAACACACCATAATACAACCCTTCAGTGCAGACTTTTGTCAATGGCTTAGAAGAACTGACTAACTTTTATGATTTTGTGAAACTAATATCCAACAAATCTCTTAACCTATATGTTTAGAGAACTATATGTCCCAATATATAATGCATGTTTACGATGAAAAGAATATAATACTATATAAACAGATGCAAATCTTAAAATTTACAAAAGAATCTAAAGTAGATTGCTAACATGGAGTTTGTTTTAACCCTAAATACTTCAAATAACTATTATATACCTACGCTGCGTACATAAAGTCATTTAAAAGCTCGAATAGTATGTATCATATGGGCTTAGGATTCATTTTATTATTTACCCGTTTTTCACATAATTTAATCTTATTGATTTTTTATATGATTTTTTGAACTTTGCCTAAGTTTTTACAACTATTCTAAACTTATTAACATTATAGTTTAGTTGTATATTGGACTCAACTAGTCCTTATTAGTTATTAGAATTTATGATTCCTTAACTAATTTGAACTTATTAACCTTTATTTAAAACTATTTAGGTAAATGTTATACATAATCCTTAGGTCTACATATAAGGAGCTAAAAATGGAAAAAAAAATAATAATAACATTAATTACACTTCTTTACGCATGATTTTGTCATGCATTGCTAAATTAATATCAAATAAGGAAAATTATTTAATGTTTATTCTTATCCCTAAAGACTATATATAACATTACCCAATTATTTATCCTAAAATAAGGGATAAATAATTGAACTAAATAGGGAGCCCAAGAGACCAAGAGTTTGTCAATTTATGCCTTAACCTTCCGTTATTTTTCTACCAGTAACACTTTTAATTCAAAACAGGTTAGGGATTTGGTAGTTGATTCAATGACGAAGGTCTTGTGTCCCCAACAAGGGATAGATTCTGCTGGTCATACTGACGCACTATTGAGAGAGCTAGATGTACCAAGTATGAACGACAGACAAGTTGTTGTTTTGACCAGGCCCTTTTTTGCAGACAAGGTCCGAAGAGCAATGTTTAGTTTAAATGGGGATAAAAGCCTAGGTCCGGATGGTTTCACGGCTTCCTTTTTCCAGAAACATTGGGATACAGTGGGAAATTATGTTGTTCTTGCGGCGTAGAGTTTCTTCAGCACGGGGTTTATACTCAAGGAATGGAACCATTCAATTCTGGTGATGATACCAAAGGTAGAGATTCCAGAGGTGAAAACTAATCTTAGGCCGATTAGTCTCTGTAATACTGTCTACAAATGTGTCTCCAAATGTTTAGTCAACTGCTTGAAGAAAGCTTTACCGAAGCTCATTTCACAGTCTCAACATACTTTTAATATAGGAAGACAAATGATTGGTAACATTCTTTTGAGCCATGAGGTGATGGATAAAATAAATAGCAAGGTGTCGAGAGCGGATTATTTGGCTGCAGTGAAGATTGACATGAGTAAGGCTTATGATAGGGTAAATTGGGTTTTTCTAGAAAGGGTTCTACAGCACTACAGATTCCCAGGGACATGGATTCAGATGATCAGACAGTGCATCTCGACGGTTTCTTACAAAGTTCTCCTCAACAGGGAGACAAGTGATTAGTTCCGACCTTCCTGTGGTTTACGCCAAGGAGATCCTTTGTCACCCTATTTGTTTTTATTTTGTATGGATGTCTTCTCTAGGATGCTTCAGCAAGGATGTGAAATGAGACTCTTCAATGATATCAAATTAGGAAAACGGGGCCCTTCCTTCTCACATTTGTTTTTTGCGGATGACGCACTCTTATTTTTTAAAGCATCGGATCGAAGTTGCATGGCCATTTCTGGCATACTCAACAGGTTTTGCATGGTCTTGGGTCAGCAGCTGAACCTTGGAAAGTCACATTTCAAGGTCAGTCTCAATACCCCAGTTCAGATTCAAAATGGATTTAGATCAAGATTGGAGATGGATCAGGTTAATCAATTGGTGTCCATTTGGGGGTGCCTATTGATTTAATGGGGTGTAAAGGGGCGTCCTTTCAGTTCATCATTGATAACATTCGGAAAGAGTTTCTGAGTAGAATGCGGTTCCTCTCTCCCAACCTCAAAAGATCATTTTGATCAATTCTGTTCTCATCGCTATTCCATCCCATATGCTAAGTTGTTTTGAGATGCCTGCTGGTATTTCAAACAAAGTTGACTCTCTTCTAGCAGGGTTCCTTTGGGCAAACAAAGAACAGCGAGGGATGCACTGGGTATGCAAAGATAAAGTCAACCTTCCAAAAGGAATGGGGGTTTAGGGGGTCCGAAGCCTGGGTTGCTTCAATGAGGCTTTACTTATGAAGCATGCGTGGAGATTATATCAAAATCCACAATTATTACTGGCTAAGGTATGTTAAGCAAGGTTTCATTCTCCGCTCTTAGGAGGAACTCAGGTAAGAATGACAAATAGGAATTTCTCTCGGGGAATGCGAGGTCCCGCTAGAGCCGGGAATAACCTTGTTGGGGGTTGTGGTTGGAAGGTGGGGAATGGAAAGTCCATATTGGCAGGTAAGGACAGGTGGACGAAAGGGGAGGTACCGGTTTTTAATTCCAACATCACGCTCCGTCAGGCAAAAACTTGGAGGGTGAGTCATTTTTTGGACCCTGAAGCTCATGGTTGGAACCAGGCACGACTAGACGTTGCTTTCGAGCCTAAGGATGTGTCGGTAATTGCAAGCTTGGAATTACCGGTTCACGATGAGGAAGACTACATGTTCTGGAATTTTCATAAGTCGGGAAGATTCACAGTAAAGACGGGGTATGCCTTCCTTAAACGTTCTTCCGTGGACTCGAGGGCTGTGGTACGAGAGGATATTTTAAGTCCCTTTGCTCCCTCCCCATTCTGCCAAAGTGGAAACTTTTTATATGGAAACTTCTCTGGATGGAATTGCTACTAAAGCTAATTTGGGGAGAAGGGGACTTGAGATTTCTGTGGGATGCGACCTTTGTGGATCGCAGGAGGAGGATTTACACATTTGTTCAGGTTTTGCACAACTGCTCAGGATGTTTGGAGGGGTGGTATTTTACATATCCACTCAGAAGCTAACGCAGACCAGTCTTTTCATGATTAGATTATGTATTATATCTGCCTATTTTTAGGCCAGGATGGTCACAATGGTCATAAGACTACTTTTTTCATCGCAACCTTGTGAGGTTTGTGGATAGCAAGGAATAACAGGGGTTTCAGATCCTCAACTCCGTCTGGCCTGTCAACGCCGGCGCTAATTTATGAGGGGGTTTGCGCCAGCAGGGTTTGTTCTACAAGAAACTTGAGGATAGCTTGAGATCTTTACACCAACAAGAAATGGTTGCAAACTACCCGCCAGGGTTTATGCGAGTTGTCCTTTGTGATAGTGGGATGGGTGTGTTGCCTACAGTGATTCTGGTCGATGGTTCTTAGCATAAGCAGACTCATAGATCAAGGATGGGCTGGTGCATGGAGAATGGTGTTCAAGGGGATCAAGGGCTACTACTGGGGGGAGCTAGCAACGGTTTGGCTCAATAAGCTCTACATGCGGAGATGAACGCCTGTCTACAAGGTCTCTAATGGGCTGCGACAAGGTCCTTGCCAGCAGTAACTATATACACGGACTCTTCGTCTATGATCCTACTACTGCAGGATACACAGGTGAGTGATATTGGTCTTCGTTGGACAGCGGATCGAATTCGACAGTTGAGCACAGGTTTTGATTGGTGTTGTGTCCATAAGGTTCAATGGGACATGGTACAGAAAGCTCATGACCTAGCTACTATAGCCAGTAGTAGTCCTTCGTCTTTTAATAATTATATGTAATCTATTTAAGATTATGTCAAAAAAAAAAAAAAAAAAAAACTTTTAATTCACAAAACTAAGTAAGGAGTACCGAGTATTATTTATGCTGAACAGCTGAAGTATAAGTATAACCCTCTATTTAGCGCGTGAATGTGTAGATAAAATGGAGACGTTGGTGGGATAAGAATATTTTGACTTTAATGCCCCTCTAGTATTTCCAGAGTCATAAATAAGCCGGTACAAAAAAGTCAATACATTTTGCTAAAGTCAACTGTCTAAAAATAACGTCAACATTTGTGAGCTAGTCAAATAAATTATTAATTATTATTTGAAATTCCGTAAACAATATATTATACAGTAGTATTTCCCAACCCTTTTTTACATGTGAATACCTTCATAACTTTAACCATATACTGTATCCATTCTTACAGCAAAAACTACTCCCTATAATATTAGAGCATTTCTTAATAGACATCCTAGTGGCTGTAATCCTTGGTTCTCTTGAGGATATTGCAAAAGTATCTGATACAATAGATTCTAATAGAGCTCAAACACTTACAAATCTTCTGATGTCCTTTGATTTTGTGTTCGTGGCACACTTGATGGTTAGTATATTTGCGATAACAAATGCTTTGAATGTGGCCTTACAAAAGCACGATCAAGACATTGTGAATGCAATGGCCATGGTTAATGTAACCAAGACTAATTTGCAAAAAATGAGAGATGAAGAATGGGATTCTCATATGGAAAAGGTAATTTCTTTTATTGGTGACTATGACATTGCAGTTCCAGATATGGAGGCTAAATATGTTGTTCCCGGGAGGAGGTTGTTTAGAGGTAAATGCCCACAAGTGTCCAATCTACATCATTTTCGAGTTGAAGTTTTTTTTGGTGTCATTGATCTTCAATTGCAAGAACTTGAAAATCGATTTCCCGAAATAACTAAAGAACTACTTGTGTGTATGTCTTGTTTGAGTCCTGTGGATCGTTTTTCTAAGTTTGATAAGGAAAAATTGATTAAGCTTGCAAAATTCTATCCTAATGAATTTCCAAGTTCAGAATTGATAGTCTTTGGTCATACACTTGATAGTTACATTTGTTCTGTTAGAGGAGATGAAAGGTTTTGGAATTTGAAGGGTCTTAGTGATCTTTCAATCAAATTGGTTGAAACGGGATTGTCTGAAACTCATGATAGGGTCTATTTACTTTTGAAATTGGTGTTGCTTCTTCCTGTCGCAACGGCAAGTGTGGAAAGAGTATTTTCTGGCATGAAGCAAGTGAAAGACAAACTACGAAATAGCATGGGAGATCAAATGTTGAATGATTGTTTAATTACTTATTTGGAGAATGATTTGTTTTTGAATGTTAGCATGGAAGATATCATGAATCGATATCAAAACATGAAAACTCGTCGAGAACTATTTTAATAAGTTTGCATTACTATTTAGTTGTCTTTTGTAGTATTATATGAACATTTGGTTGTATTTTGTACTGTTTGAATATTTGGATGTATTTTTTAGTACTATTATTTGGTTGTTTGGTAAAAAAATTTTTTTAACATATTTGATTATCGATTGTGACTCACCAGTCGGAAAATCCTGGGTCCGCCACTGCCTAGTAGTATGAAATGTTCAAACTGAAATCACATAGAAGCTCAGATTAACCTGATTACCCGACCCTGGCCTCGGCCTCGGCCTCAGCGACCGTCAATCATGGAAGTGATTGAGAGTTCATTTACCGAATATGCACCAGCACTAGATGATGATGGATCTGCATCTTGTTGACGCCCTTTGTGGATAAATGCAGGTTGATTAGGAAAAGGAATTTTGACTTTGTTGCTCAACATAAAAACTACTGCTGACATTGTTGGTCTATCATCTGCACATTCTTGCACACATAATAGTCCAGTTTGTATGCATATTAAGAATTCCTCATTATCTGCATCTTTCAAACATGGATCAACAATTTCTGAGGATTTTCCTTCTTTCCAAAGCTCCCAAACCTGCACAATTTTGCATAAATCCAATCTTAGAAATACAGCATCATATGCACTTTAGCATAGAAGTTTATCTCTAAAGTTTGCCTTTAGAGAATGATTAAAGTTACTTACATGACCAACTAAATTTATAGAAGGATTGTCATGATAAAGACCCGAGTTTTTTCTACCAGTAATAATTTCCAGTAACAAGACTCCAAAGCTAAAGACATCAGACTTTACAGACATCAGTCCCTCCAGTGCATACTCTGGTGCCATATATCCACTGCGAAAGTAGAAAAGCCATAAACAAGACTAGTCAGATGTCCTGCCTTACAATATCTTTAAAATTTATGAGCAATATGTTTGCATTCATGTAATGTACTTACTAGGTTCCGACCACCCTGGTAGTGTTTACTTGCACTTGCTCATTTCCAAAAATTCTAGCCATTCCAAAATCTGAGATTTTGGGAACCATATCCTTATCCAGCAAGACATTGCTTGCTTTCATGTCCCTGTGGATGATCCTTAGTCGCGAGTCTTGGTGAAGATATAACATCCCTCTAGCGATCCCCATTATGATGTCAAAGCGTTTATTCCAATCCAAAGACAACTTATTCTCCTCCTCTTCAATGAAATTGATTTATAAACAGATTGTGTTAAGAATTTAAAATCTTTAGGAACATGACCTTAAATCTTTTGTACTGAAAATTATACGGGACAGGTAAAGTAAAACTAATACAGAGTTGTAGTTTTTAGAAACCGACTTACTGAAAATGAAATAGTCCAAGCTTTTGTTTGGCATGAATTCATAGATCAACATCTTCTCGTCTCCTCTAATGCAACACCCTAACATCTTCACAAGGTTCCTGTGCTGAAGTTTAGCAATCAGCCTAACTTCATTCTTAAATTCTTGTATACCTTGCCCTGAATTCGGAGCCAGTTTTTTTACAGCAATTTCTTGCCCATTTTCCATTCGACCCTATTAGCAGGGTACAGATATCTCAGCAATCATACATACGAATCCTAATGTAAGCTGTGTGGAAAAAAAAAAAAAAAAAAAAAAAAATTCAACATTGGAGCAATCCTGTAACAGGAAAAAATAGTACCTTGTACACTGATCCGAAACCACCTTCTCCAAGCTTATTAGCCAAACTGAAATTGTCTGTAGCTGCAGCTATTTCGCTACGAGTAAAGAAGGGTAATTCTGAACTGGCATCACTTTCTTTAGCATCTTTCGTCCAAAGAGACCTTTCAGCTTCCTCTTGCCGTTCTATATATCATCAATTAGATATGTTTTCAAGCAATGACCACTTGATATTTTGTTTATTGAAAGTATTCAAAAATTTTGGCATAACCTATTAAAAGATAAGCATGTATCTAAAGCGTATAGATAATTTAATTCTTATGTTAGAAATTTTGTTGTCACATTGCCTCAATCTCATAATTAAAGGTATGACATGATTTTGCAATACAACCTATATAATAGTTGTGTAATAAATCACTTTTCTTCCTTATCAGTTATAAAGGAATATTAGAAATCAATTATAAAAATAAAACATTGTACCCTTAAGCTTACTATCATAGATGTTATAGTTACAAAAAGTCCATATTAAACTTATTACTGCAAAGTAAAGCACAAAATGAGATAATCAGTAGAAGTACCTTTTTTAATCTTCTGATGTACCCAATAGACCACGAAAAGGATCAATAATAAAAATGTTAGCACCACAAGCCCTATGAGAAGTGCTTCCAGTTTCTTATTTGCAAAAAGGCCTTTTGACCTCCGGTATTTTGCTGCAAAGAACAAACATGTTATTTATAAATACTGCTTAAGCATTGCACAAGGAAGATAATACTTTTCTTACCGTCGGTACTAAGAACTTTAAGAACAACAAATTTGTAGTGGTATTCATGACTAAAACTTTACTACAAAAGTATATCATAAATTTCCTGTTTTCTAAATGGTATTCAATAGCAAAGTACAGAAATTAATCTTATCATGTGGGCAAAGAGATTGGAACTGACTTGGCATCTCGCCAACTGGGGCAAGGAAAGTGGGAGTTTGAGCAGAGGTGCCAACAGATCATTTGGATTGAGATTTTTTTTTTTTTCAGGGTCAGTAAAGTTGGAGTTATTTTCCAGATTTTCGATGATATAATATTTGGTTTGATTTCAGGGCAGTTCATCGATGACTACACTGAATAATCAAATTTAGTTCATGTGCCGATCCCACTTATCGGATTAAGGCTTTGATTATTTGATTGATTGATTGATTTCAGAGCAGTTCATGATATTCAGGCCTGTAGACTATAATCAGCTAATAATATTCGACAGGGTCAATTCTAATCTTGCTCAAATGATTCGAATAGGATAACCAAGTATGAGTTAGTTTTACAAGATCTATGGTTGAGTTATCGGCAAAAATTGAGTTAATAAGTAAACTAGTTCTTTGCCTTTGGATTAAAATAAAGTACTCCATAATTATTTAGCCTAGTAGGTGTATTTAATTAAAGTTACAAAGGTCACACGGATATGTTTTCAAGCAAACCATTCCTTTTGCCATAGTACTAGAAACTTGGTTCTAGTACAACCACAAATCATTGACATGAATATCAAATAATAGATAAACACAAATTAAATGAAGTCATACCTAGCTCAACTGCATCGGCCCGGAAGTATACATCTTGGCCCCCAATAGGATACATTCTGGTATCCATCAACTGGCCGTACAGTGAAATGCAGCCACTGCCTCCACCGCTGTCGTCTGCACTAGTATATCCAACGCAAGAGCAGTTCTTCAAGCACTCTTGTTCACATTGTTTCAATGTCGAGCTCTTGTTCACTACAGCTTTCGATGTATCTGGCAACTTAACACTTGCTAACTTCAAGAATCCTTCTCCGTTTCTGCACATTGACCTGTTTTCTTCTCTTACACAACCTTCTGAACCGTCTCTCAGATACCAATCTCGCGGTGATTTAGGCTTATACCTGTTGGTAGACAAGTATTTATGGATGCTTGTAATCAGCTAAAGAATCAGCACATAACGTCAAAGAATTAAGGTTATCCACAAGTTTTTCAGAGGTGCTAGTACTATTCAAAAGAACAAATAATAGTGTGTTTAATGAAATACTCCGTAGATAAACATAAATAATATATGAATTCATTAGCAAGAAAGGAAAAAAGTACCCAGGATAACAGGTGCATTGAAATTGATTGCCACCATTGGGGTTGCAGTTACCAAAAGGACCACACTCCCCATACTGATCACAAAGCTCCTTTGGTGCTGACCAGAACTTGATCCAACGTTTCGTATTTTCATGCCATGTCTGTCTCTGGACTGTTCTTGTAAGACCATCCACCGAGAAGATTGTGATGATAGAATCGCTAAGAACGTTGTAGGTTACGGAAACCTCATTTGCATTGCTGACAAAACTATAGTTGAAGATATAAGCATGAGTCATATCTGGAACTCCACTCCATTTCTGTCCTACCCATGGACCTGTTCGCCATACTGGGTCCGAACCATGGTACAAGAAGAATTGAGGAGATCCTTTCGGGTCAACTTGAAAGGTGTATTTTCCAGAACTTGGATCATCTTTTGATTTCCAAGAGGTTAAATATCGGTTTAAACCAGTTCTTTTATCTAACCCAAGCGTCATTCCTGGCAGAAAAGTGTCTGTTATATGATCAAAACTTTGCCACAGCAGAGTTTTGCCATTATCAGCAGTCAAGACTAAATTTCCAGAATCTAGCAGTTGACATGAGGTGCTATTAGTTTTGTTTAGGGAGACGGGAACCGAAATATTTGTGGACCATGCATCAGTTTTCCCGGAGGTAAGTGTAAGATGCCCGCCTTCAATGATCGAAAAGGTTCCATTGGAACCATAGATGGGTCTATCTCTATTTGCAACCCAAACAGCAGTAAGCACAGAAACCTTTGTGAACCAGATTCCGACGTACCTTCGAGTGGTATTTCCGGGGCTGAAAAATCCTAAGGTAAACTTTCCGGCTTTAGATGTCAGTAAATCACCTGCTCTGAGGGGACTGCTAGGAGTTATAGTGTCAGTAGAAGCACATAACTGCAGCGAAAGAGCCACAAGAAGCGCTCTCAAAAGCATGTTGAATTGTAACAAAGAAGGTGCACTGTCAACCTTGTTGAGCAGATGTGAATGTGTTTCAAATAAAAACCACTAATTCTTCTGGTTGCAGCATTTATATGCTCAATGATTTAGTTGGTATGTCAACTTGATGCCTGTGATGAAGACCTATTGGTACAGTATGTGTTGGCATTTATATACTGGCTTCTGATATAAAATTTCTTTCGAGGCAAGCTCAACTGCATTTGAATAGACATCTGCTAGGTAATCTACAAGCTTAGGACTCTAAATTTATTTCAAGTAGACTAAGTCAAAGCAAAGACACTGTGACGCAAAACGGGCTACACAAGCATGTAGAATAGAACATGATATCAACCTGATATAATCCAATACTATCCAAGTTATTCGGATCTTTAAGATGTTACTCCGCATCATGCGAAATACTTCCTCCCGCTAGAACCAACCAATCCGATATTTCACTTGTCAATATTTATCCAACACTGAATGACCCAATCCAATAATGACTTAAGTGTTGTACATATATTTACAAAGCATTCAGGTCACTTGCATGCTGGAGTGAACGGCAGAATGAAAGCAATTGCATCATTTGCATGATTAAGATTAGAAGTTATAAATAATCCAAATATTAAGATCAGGAGAAAACCAGAAATATAAGCAACAGTTAGTTGAAGTTATTAATGATCGAAGATCCACATTGAAGGTCAAAATAAGTCAAACTTTCAGAAAAACAGAATGGGTATGTCATCAAAAATCGCGGACGATAGAATTGGTGGATATACACTCGCTTTTCATGACCTTTGCATTCATTATTACACCTGACCCACTCTAGAATTGAGTGATGTAGAGGATTTAATTTTGATGGGATTCATGAATGATGGAGTTTTAGAACCCAAAAAGACTAACTAACCAATCACGGTAAAACATGAAAATATTGACGATAGATCCGTGAAGTGCCAGTTTGTAACTGCTCCGATGATCAGGTCTTTAGTTCTTAACTCTAGCAACTCATCAAAAGAATACCACACTTCCTAATAAGGCTCGAACCTGAGGTCTCCTATCACTGAGAATCTGAGATACAAGAAAGCAGCTTAGGATAAAACTTGGCAATAGTATAAGCACTTAGTGACTGATTCTGTAAGTGTTAATAATAGAGCCAATTGGTCCAAAAAAGTGAAACAAGCAGAATCCAAATCCACCGGCCTATTCATGTTGCAATATTTTAAAATGCAAAAAGTAAAACTTATATGCTACTATTAATTTATGCCTCAGAACCTTGCCTCACAAACTAAGCTCCCAATTAACACTTTCTATTTCTATCCCCAATAAAATTTTAGCAGTTATGAATCGGAAATCTTCTGAAATGATGTCTAGGGTAGAGAAATCCAAACTTGAGATTGTAAATCTCCAAGTTGAGATAGAAGAAGATGAAGAAGAAGTTGGATACTTGGAAGAAGATGCTTTAGCATATCCATCCCACATCACTAGTCAAATACGTCTGAAGGCGATGCATCCTTCAGAGAAGATGCATAGGGAGGTGATTTTAAGGCGTATCCGTCACCATAAAAGAATGAAGAAGATTAACAGCACAGTAGAATCGCTCTTTAACTCCTCGTTTTCTACTTCTGCCTTCAGAAACTTAAAGGACTGTGATGAATTACCGCAGGGATGGATTGATGATACCTTCAATAGCCCATAGTGTTTTTCTTTTTTCTTTTTTCATCAGGTATGCTGAGGTTTGGGCTGAGCCCTTCCTATCCCAAATACACAAACACCACCAATTTGATAACTAGTAAATCCCACAAAACCTCCTCACCTCCCTGCCCCAGATGAGAGTTGATCCCTGGCAAACCCTAGTACTGTAAGGTTGCTTTAAACCAAGTTTACCTTTAAGCTTCTAGTATTATGTATCTATGTAATTTGTATATATATATATATATATTCAGAACGAAGGCAATGACTAGGATCATTCCTAGGTGTCAGGTCATGTTTGGAAAAAGATGATGCACTCACATTCATACTCTTACCATTTCGATTTATTGCCCTCTCAGTTTAACTTGCACCCCTAATTTAAGGGGTATCAATTAAGTAATTAACCCCCCTAACTTAGGGGTATCAATTAGCCATCCATACTTCCAAATCTAACCAAAGAATACACATTTTGCAACCCACAAGCAAGAATCAATATAGTGAAAGAAAAAAAAAATCCTTATAAACATGCTGAATAAGTGAATAGCATTTAGAAAAGTATACAAAATTACGATTAACTGTCATATGATCAGCATTCTGACTGGACTGAAACTTCTACTATTAGCTGCAAGCTAGCAAGTAAGCTTGATGCACACATGACTTTTGTCCTGTTGAATTCATGTTGTTATGACTTCCAATGCCCCAGAGTTTTGCTAGTGGGCTCTGGAACTCTTTTTGTCCAAGAGAACTAACCAAGAAGGCAAGAATAGATATCAAACACACTTCAAATTCCAATATGATGTTGCTCGCACTGAGATCTTCAGAAAAGATTCCAGATCTTTAGGGAGGTTTGATAATTCCCTTGTAACCTCTTCCATGACTATATGACACTTCAAGTGTGGGCATTACAGGAAGATATGAAATGACTAGATCAGTTTTGTCACTTTCATCTGAAAGAAAACATCCTGTATTTGACATCTATTTTTCACCCTGATTATTAGAGGATCCACCAACCAACGAGCCCAAAATCAGTATCACATACGCTGTAGAAAGGTAGACTGCAAGGGTCACCCTTGGCACACTTTAAAGCAATTTTTATGACAGCCAATAATAAAACAGAGTCTATTCCTTATTTTCTTCACGCCGGAAAGATTCAGGGTTCAGATTCCTTCCTGTAATGTCAGTATACCCACTTGTTCTATAACAAAAATACTGCAACGGACAAATTATATATAATTGCAAAAGGAAATACAAATGCGACACTATGAGCTATATGGGAAAAGTACATAAACTTACAAACTAACATTTTGTTCAGAGGAGTGGATTAGAAAGAAGAGGTGAGGAGAGGGAAGTAAGGGTTTATTTTCCATCAATAAGATGATGGGGAAGCAAAGGGAAAGAAGTGTGAGGGGTTTATTTTCCTTCCCTCTATAATGAACTATATTTCTTTCCAAAGTTGCAGAATTCAAGGAAAAATCTTTCCTTCCCTTCCCTTCTCTCCCCTGTTTCTGTCTTCTTCCTATTCTCCCTAAAATTATCATCCAAACACATTGTAAATGCAAAAGACAATGGACCTAATTCTAAAAGCAGGACTAGCCTAAACTAATAGCACTGACAAATAGCTTATTGTAAGGGAAAATTCTGAAGACAATTGAGCAAACTTAATTCTTAACAAGGAAGACGATAGGAAGAACTGCAAACAAAAGTAAATACTAATCACTAATGGCAAATGTTACCTGTTTCTGCCTGGAAATTTACTGAACAAGTATCGTGCTAAATCTCAACCACTGTCGCAGCAGATTCTCGCCTCCTGCAAATCCAAGGTCTACACCACAGCATTGATAAAACCTCTCTCCTATCTCCATTCCTGTTATTTCATTCAACAATGCTCAAGAATTGAACCAATTTTTCAGACTCGGGCCAGCTAGATTCCCCACCAGCAACGTCAGCCTGATCACAATCCGGTATACACAATGTCTATTTACTACTCCATAAATGACTACTGGGAAACGGAACTTGAATGGCATATATCATATCATAGTCTCATAGATTCATAGGTCCATGACATACACAAGATCCAAAAGGAAGTGCCAGTGCACTCAGTTTGCATTTCATCTACCACTCAGTTATGGGAAACAATCCATAAGTTTACACACAACTGCTGCAATAAAAGGCCCATAGAAGCTCAACTAACAAACGTCACAAAATGAACAATGTACACAATTACTAGAAGGAATTGAAGCTAAATAACAGATGTGATAATTCAGACAACTTTTATTCACTAGCAAAAGAGGAAGTTGCAAGTACAGAAAATACCACAAATTTTAAAAAGAATCAGGAATCTAATAAACAATGAATTCCCTGATTCTTAGCAGAGATATTCCCTAAAATATATAAGACGTATTGGCACTATTCTTATGCTGTTCATTTTATTTTATTTTTTGGCAATCCAGGACCATACTCTTGCATTCGAAACGACGGAATGGATCACATCTTAGAAGGCTTAGGGAATATATCAGGAGTGAATTTCTGGGCAGCACTAATACTACCCTTAATCTTCATTGCACCCCTCATAAAAGCAATTTGAGGGTTCATTTTCCCTGTTGCAATCTTAATGAAATCTTCATCCTTGAAAGAAAATGTTGCATCTGGCTTTCCTCCTTCATAAGCACCTGAATTTCATAAAACCCAACAAAGTTTTTACATAATTTGATGAAATTAACAATCAAAATTCAAAGATTTTAGTACCCAAATAAATAACAAAGTTTGTTCAGGAAACCCTAACCTTTCTTAACCTCTCCTTTCTTAAGATCAACAGTATAAATCACCTCATTAAAACCCAATTTCTGCCAATTAAGGAAACCCCACATCAATAAAACTAATCACAATTCAGCAAATTCAATAAACTTAGGCAAAACACAAGACATTATCATAAAATCACAAAATTAAATGACAAAAAATAAATGAAAATAATTAATTTACCTTGGGGGCGATGTGGAGCTGATAAACGAGGCCAATTTTCTTGGTGATCTCTTTCCCAGCATCAGTGGTGAGGTGGGTTTTCATCTGTTCCAAGAAAGCGTCGGACTTTAGCTCCTGATCAGAGTCTGCCATCTTCGTGTTCGACGAAATGCCGCAATGAAGTGTAAGGCAAGATATTACCGTGAGAAAGGAAGAGCGCTAAAATTAGGGGGGAAAGCGGTGGTTGTAAGCACTAACTGCCACAAAAGGAGGGATAAATGCACGAACTACCAGGGGGAAGGCGATAATTGCACGCATTCCTAACTGTCCTAGATGTATGATTAGTATCTTCCTTCTTGTCCGTGCTTTAATTCATGGCGAGCCAGGTCGAGCCCATGAGCTGAGATGAGCCGAGCCAAGCTGAGAAAAGTCATGATCTTATTTTTATGGATTAGACTATCTCCATTGGTGAGACTCAACTTTGATCATTGAAATACAAAGTGAGTTGTTTTTTACCTCCAATAGTGATACCTAACCTTCTTTTCAATTTAGTAACTCATCTGAAGTCTAATTTCCCAATGATCAAACTCTCTAAAAGTCTAAAGTATACTAATGTCACTTTCAATTTATGGTTCACCAAATCCATATTGTAAGTTTTCCAAAAAAAAAAAAAAGAAGTTAAATTAAAAGTTAAATAAATTACAAAATATATTATAATATTGATAAGGGGCCCACAATTTTTGTCAAATGAGACTCAAAGTATTGGGTATCTAAACTTAGCAACTTTCTTTTGGAGTTGCTAAGTTTAGATACCAACTTATTGGTATCATTTGTAAAAAATATTCTCACTCTCCTAAAAAAACTCTCTCAAGTCTCATCATTGGAGATGATCTTATCCCAACATCCTGCACGGGTTATGAATAGGTATAAAGAATATTTTAGCAATAGAATTATATGACGCTCAGACAATTATTCAAATAACATACTCCGTAGATACTCTGACATTTAATGTTTACTTATTTTCGTATTTAGTCCATCTCTTTAAATTTATCACGTGCTACTTTTGGTTGTAAGAAAGCACAACTTTACTCATACAACCACTACATTTAGCCCCGCCATCTCTTTCTCTTAGCAATTTTTTTCAACAAAAAAAAAAAAAAAAAAAAAAAAATTACCTCAATAGAGCAAGCAAAAGGAAACGAAGGGAGTAGTACAATTTGTGATACGATAATGAGACAATAAGTATAGAATAAGGTGTTTTATAGACTATATAAAATCTTTAAAATAAAGTCAAGTCTGTGTGAAATGAAAATAGGATCTTTAAGCACAATTTTGAACTTTTGGTAAACATGCTTACATGCATGGTGTTGGGGCAATTGGGCTAAGCCAGATTCCTAAAGTCACCTAATTTGGTTCATTGAGCTTTTGGTTGAATACAAAAAGATTATTCAAGCTCTTATAAACTTGGTTCTCATGAGTTGTTATGTTAAGTTTGGATTGTGTTCAACTTTATTATTAATTGAGCTGAATAAGTAAACAGCCATTTTGTCAATACGGCTCATGTAAATATGTAATCAATTAGGGAGCAGATTTGCTAAGAAAAAATAGCCAAATCCTAAGGCAAAAGTATTGCCTTGCTCATTACTTTTGTTTCATGTCTTTTAACCTGCATAAATTTGTTTTCCAGCACATCACGAGAAAAGAACATACCAAAAATAGCCCACAAAAGTAGATTTTGACTATATCCCATGAAAAAGCCATATCGAACTCTATTAACTATATCCCGTGAAGATTAACATGGTAAGTTACTTATTATCCACATTTAGTACCTATTTGCAATTATCCAAGCCATACCGAACACTCTTAATATCCAATGAAAATTAACATAGTAAGTTACTTATTATCCACATATAGTAGACTTGATCAAACTGAGACCGGCCCGATTTTGGGCAAAATTTTCCAGCCTAGCCCGATTTTTTAAAATTTTTGGGCGGGCTTGGGAATGCGACATTATGCAATTTTAATTGTTTTTTTGGCCCGTCCCGAAAATGGCCTGAAAAGCCCACATGGCCTAGCTAGTTTGGGCACATAATTTTTGGCCCGAAGCTTGGCCCGACCTGAGAAATGGGTAGTTTTTTCGACCTCAGCCCGAACCTGGCCTGGCCTGCCCAATGATAACCAACATTTAGTACCTATTTGTAATTATCCATCGCTTGTAGTCAAGAATCAAGAATGACTTATGGCCTTAACCAATTACAAGGGATCAAGGTGCCACTTTTACTGCAGCAAATAAACCATGCTTATGCTTTGACATCTTGAATCTCAAACTAAACCATATATACCTTAGCAATTATATACAACTAATTGTAAGAATAAACATAATACTCCCTCAAAATTGTTTCCCTCTCTTCATACCTTCCAACAACCCCCAAAAAAAAAAAAAAAAAACCAGAACAAGTGACTAAAATACCAATGAACCAAAAAATGGTGGTAGCTTAACCATCTCACATATACAATGAGCTAAATCCTGCTACGATCATGAACTTTACTATCGCGCATTTAGCATGGTGACAGTAACTTGATTCACAGTGAAAGATTCGTCTTGTTTACTAGAAGAAGAATCTGTCTCGGTAGGGTTCCATCCCATACAAAAACCCGGTAGCCTAGGATGAGGCAAAGACGCAGATTCACTACCCAACATCAGCACCACGGATGCCATCGTTGGCCTATCTTCTGCCCTCTCTTGCACGCATAGTAGACCGACTTGTAGGCATCTTAACATTTCATGTACCGAGTACAAATCACCCATGACCTTGTCTAGAATCTCCGTTCCTTTTCCTTCTTTCCATAGCTTCCATAACTGTCAATTTTTAAGCATTTGCTTTCTCAAGGTTAGTGCTATAAAATCATTAATGTGAGGCAGTGAGGAAAAAAAATATAAAGTGCTTTACTTACATATCCGAGAAGGTGTAGTTCATGATCTGAATTATAAAATCCTCTGTTTTTAGTCCCACTAATTATCTCTAGGACTAGTACACCAAAGCTAAACACGTCTGATTTTACTGAGAAAAGTCCATCCATTGCGTATTCAGGAGCCATATAACCACTACATAATGACATATATTTCTCCCATGTTATAGAGGCATGTATAAAAGTTGAAATAAGCTTGCAAGATGAAGGAAATTATGCAAAAGTATTGAAGAATATGGTACTAAGTTTGTTGTTTTGAGTAACTTACTATGTTCCAACTACTCTCCTTGTGTTTCCTTCAGTTTGATCACCTCCAAATATCCTTGCCATGCCAAAATCTGATATTTTCGGATTCATTTCTCCATCGAGCAAAATGTTGCTTGCTTTCATATCTCTATGGACTATTCTATACCTCGAATCTTGATGAAGATACAATAACCCCCTCGCAATCCCACAAATTATGTTGAATCGCGTTTGCCAATCAAGCAATGATTTTCTTTCATCATCTACATATCATTAAGCAATAAAAATAAGAACTAGAGCTAAATGAAAAAGAATGTTACATTAGTAACTTCAGATTGAGGGACTTACGGAACAAAAATGCATCTAGACTTCTATTTTTGAGGTACTCGTAAATGAGCATCTTCTCATCCATCTCTACACAACAACCAAGTAATCGAACAAGGTTTCGATGCTGAAGCTTTGCGATCAATCTAACCTCGTTCTTGAACTCTTCTACCCCTTGTCCTGATTCCTTAGAGAGTCTCTTAACTGCAACTTCTTGTCCATCTGGTAGTACACCCTGAATTTTACTATGCAGGTTATATTAAACTTTTTAAGTACATACCTATGTTTTGGTAGACAAAATCTACATTCAAACATAAATAATCACAATATCCAGATTAATGAGCCAAATTTAGCCTCAAATATAAATTCTGATCCATCAATTCAATCTAGTAAAGATTAATTCAAGAGAACATGGCCTTAGCCCTTAATGCCGCGTTGTATTCTTATCTGTGTGATCTCATATTCAAGGTGATATTAAATTGATGCAAGACTAGAAAAATGTACCTTATATACGCGTCCAAAACCACCTTGTCCAAGTTTGGTAGCATCGTCGAAGTTGTTGGTGGCAACGGCCATGGTATATAGGTCAAATATGGGCAACTCAACATCTTCTAAATTATTAGTTTCCCCTGAGTAGTCTCTCTTGCTAGAGATGATTTGCCCACTTATAAGAATTTCTTGGCTCCTTTCAGTTGTACCTGCCCTAGAGGCTGAAAAACATAACAAAAAAATGTCAGTTCTCAAAAAATTGCAAAAAATATTACACTCCAATCACTATGTTAAAGATTAGTTGTTATCACGTTGATAATTCAGATGACTAAGCTAACAACATGACAACTAAATTTGGACGATGGTATATACAAAGTTATCGACGTGATTATGGGAAATTGTAAGTTTACCTCTTGTCTCCCCAAGTCTTCTTCTAAACAAACTTTGTGCTTTTTTCCGTTTCAATATGATCAATGCAATTATGCCAGCCAAAAGTACCATTGAGGCAATGGAAATGCCAATACCCATTACAATTTTCTTTGCATGATCCGAACCAATTCCTTGAGACCCTATTCAGTATAAACAGTACATGATTAGATATAACTAATGATGTTATTTTGCTTTAAATGGAGGATTAATAGAAGTATTAATTGAATCTTATGATCTGATCAACTAAGTATCAATTTATTTAACATAAAAAGGAGCATGATCTCAATCTCAATAATAATACGAAGTATATAAAAAGGTGTTGCATAGTCTTCCCTAGCCTCATCAATCCATAAATCCAAAATATATTTTCTAGGTTGTTCAAGAATAATCGTCACCCAATCTTACATACTTTACTTAGGACATCCATAATCCATAATGATTTACGATTAGATTTCCCAATATCCTGCTAATTAAATTATGTGATATGAAAAGGATAAATATGACATCGATGTTATAAGAAATTATGATAATAGCTGTCCAATCCAAACATAATTTGTGCAACAGTTTGGTCACCAATTATTGAACAGTACGCTTTTTTTTTTTTTTTTTTTTTATTATTATTATTATTATTGTTTTTTTTTTTAGAACTCAAAGATGATTAGCTGGGACAAATAATCAGATCACGCATAATTATAAGGTGAATTAAATAATGTTATGTGGGTACATGGCCAAAGACATATGTGGAATAATTAATTCTCTACGGAGAAGCAAAAATGTGATGCACATAATTTCAAATTTAAGACTTTCAAAACATCTTTTCATTAACGTGTTTTCTTAACTAACGTTAACTAGCTTGCTTACTAGATGTGTAACTAGTTTAGTTGGTAAAATTTTTACTGTAATTCTAAAATGTATCTTAAGTCACTATTTTTAGATATTTTTTGGGTTCTATCATACACAGACCAAGAAAAACAACTACCTAACTTAAAAAGATGCAAACTTACTAATTTTTTTATTTTCTATTGTACAAATTTAAATTGACAATGAATGGTTATTTATATAAAGACGATATTGGTTTGACCATATTGTATGAATACATGTAATAGAACACAACTTTTTATCCTTAATAAATTTCTAATTAGATTTTTGAGTTCAAATAAAACAGTTTGAAGTTTCAACCCTTTATTTGTCAAAAAAATTATTTTTACAATTTTATATTTACTCCATGCATGTTCTAAAACTATGGCGGACTATATATATTTTCAAAAGTATATAACGATAGCTTTAAATTATACTGCTACTCGTAGTATTTGAAATAGATAATTTTTTATGTAGAGAGTGACAAATGATATACTTCGTATATTGAATTTTCCATTTCTTAAATACAGTATTCCGTCCTACCCATGTTACTAAATTATAACCAACTAAACTAACTAAATAACATCTACTTATATAAACATGTATGCCGGAACACGAAGAAACCAGAAGACTAAAATAGTAATTTACATTAATCAGGAGGCCAATCTTCCCACGGCTTGCAAGAGCCATGCCCAATTTCATTGGAAAATGACAGTTCAACAACTTGTACTTAGTGGTCTTCTTCCTACATTCCACTTTGCTAGTTATTTCAACAATTTATCTAACTAATTATATTATTAATATGGTTTAGTAATAGTCTAATCTTCCCATGATAAACCTACCCAACCTCTAGATTTAATCTTACTTTTAAAATCTTATTTTGAGCAAATGTCATATTATAATGAGCAGACCATTATTTAATTTAATTAACTAGCTAACCTAAACCTAGTTTAACTGGCTATATTACATTAATGACCCTTTAATAGTTAATTATATTAGATTTACACAATTATGCTTCCTCTTTTCCGTACAATGTTACTGTGTATACATTATGATCAGTGGATAAACTACCCAACAAAATTAAAATATTCCCAACTATATCATGAAGTGGCTCTATTAAATTTTTAATGAGATTAATGCGGTAGTGACACTCATATGGATCGGACTATGAAGTATTTGTTTATACTCCTGAATTTAACAGCACATCGGATTAAGATTCGACGTGCATGAGACTGATTTCATAATAGGTTATTATAAAGTTACCGCGAGTGCTTTTCCATTTTTAGGAGGACGAACAATTTTTAATGTATATTGAACAATAGATATATAAAAACTGATTGATGTTAGGTGGAGTAACCCACCAGACTTATGTTTTGATCATCTCTTATCATACTTTAATTTCGGACTAGTTTTGAGATATCACTTAAAAGAGGTACTAGGAAGCTTCTAAGTTGTTATCTTTATCTTCCCTTTGGAGCTTCTAAATTTGTATATGCATAAAGACATATTGGTAGAAAGAAAGCTAATAAAGTGCTAATATTAGGCTTAATGGAGTACAAGAAATATTAATTATGCATTTCTAACTGTATTATATTGGATCTAATCTCTCTTTAGTTTAAGTAATGGGTTAATCCACTAATCAAACATTTAGACATGGATGCCCCTACTAGACACCAAAATGGGGCGCAATGCTAGTTTTGACGTCCATATGATATAGATTAATCTACCTTTTAAGCCAAATATTCCGGTTCTAAAAAGCTTAATACATTTTAAGTCAAACTACCCTCCAATCAAAGTATATATGACTAACTATTAGTAAGATCAAGGTGACTACTTTACCTTTAGATAAATTTACACTTTTCAAAAAAAGTATTCCCTCTAATTTCAAAATTTACTCGCTTAGACAATTATTAAATAAAAGCATGCAAAAGTAAATGGGTATAAGAAATTAATGAAAAAAGTAAGAGAAATTAAGTAAAAAAGATAGATCATTGTATACTTGGTATATAAGAGAAAGTTGAATTTTGTAAAAGAGAGTGTACAAATATAAGTAGTAAATCTAATTTTACAATACAGAAGTAAAGTAAGTGAGTCAAAACTTTTTCGTAAGAGCTAAATTAAAAAGCAACTTAAATTTTCAAAAACATATCTACAGAATAGTTTTTTTTAAGAAATCTCATTCAACCAGTCTGAACTCTGAACACACCTTTGTTGTGCTATGGTGAGACTACTTTTTAATTAATTAAATAATTAATCAATCTATATCTTTCATTATTAAAAGATAATCTTTCTAGTGTAAAGTAAAATGATGATGACTTGAAAATGAAGATTCTAATGTTAAAGGGAAGAGAACAGTTGGCCAACTAAACCTAAACAGGTCAGAAAGGAACGGCTAATTGGTCAGACAACTCAATTAACAATTTGAAAATTTAGGACCCCAAAGAAAATGGTCCAAACAAAGTAGGACTTGGGACCAGGGTCTTTTGAATTTAAGGACACTAGTATTATTCATCAAGTCTCTAGAAAAATTTGTGTCAATTTTGTTCCACTGATTAAGGTCATTAAAAGCCACCCTTTTTATCTTCAATTTTCATTTTATTTCTCCTTTGAAAGTAGGGTTAAATTTTGTTCGGCTTATGTGGAATGTTGGATTATTGGTTCAGATAAATTCAAAACTATATGTATCTGAATTATTTGAATTTTCGTTTAAGGCATTGGTCCCCTCAGATCACCTTCACCTTATTCATATGAACTAGAAAGATATTTAATGATCATAAATTATCTATTTTTTGATCCAATTGTATCGTTTATGGACCACAATAGGTCATGTCTAAGGTCGACATACCATAAGAACGGCAGATTAGCTGATTAGTGATGGATGTTGTTATATACTGTATATCTTCTTTCTAAAGTTTCCTACAAGATTGCACAATATAAGATTATGAAACTATCGATCCCACGCACACACGATTTTGCCTTATTACTAATCATCTTTGTGAATGTGTAATAAAAGTTAAGGCCACCCAAAATTGGCAATAAGAATTTGTCCATGTAGCTAAGGTTGAGTCTTAAAAAAACAGTTTTTTTAGAAAAATTACAATTGTATTATATATAAGCTAAGTCTTTTTTGATATAATTGTAATCATTAATGAATTTTTTTACCTTTTTTTACGATCATAAATATTTACCTTATTCAACTTACTCAGCTAATGTGATGTATGGGCAACCCCCACTAACTTTCTCCCAAAATCATATTCTTTTTTTTTTTTGTTTTTTTTTTTTTTTTACATCATCTACTCTAAAAATTTACATCTATCATTTACTCTTAATAAACGCGCCTGCTTCTACAAGCACAATAATTTGATCAAGAAGTTAATTAATTCATCATTGATTGCTATGTGAATACACACAAATCCCATCTGTCAAAATTGGTCATCCTCTACCTACATTGCATTACATATTTACATGGGTTCCACCATTGATAGTGACAATGGTAAGCTTATAATACGCCTATCTACACACATCATGCTTAACATGTTTTTGTTTTTGTTTTTTTTTTTTTTTTTTTTACCTTCCATGTCCTTTACATCAATACTTTCCAAAAGCTTGGCCCCAAAAGAAGAATAATAATAAAAATGAAAACAAAAAATATATATATAAAAAATAATAATAAAATAAAACCCTTATCTACATCCTCGACTCTTTAACAATTGTCTTGATATTTTTAAAGTTATTAAACCATATGATTAAATTTATTCTCCTTAATTTTAGGAAAATCACCAAGAAAAAAATTGATCAAAGGTTAATAGTTTTAATAATATAATAATAATCCCAAATTTTAATGCTGATTAGCATCTAGCATTCTAGCCATCTACATTCTACAAAACTATATTCTACACTTTCAGATATTCATCATCGAATTTGGTTGATATGCTAAACAATAGTTTGAAGTTTTTGCTACACAATAATTAAAGTACGAACATTACCTAATCTTATTTCAAAAAAAAAAAAAAAAAAAAAAAAAAAAACCTTAATATTTTATAAAGGAAGATGCCACCCAAGTGTTTATATGATTTAGTTTCTTATAATAGCCAATATGATATGATTTTATCTACCACACAATCTATATGATATAGTATTGTACTCGTAATTAATACCACCATGTTATTATTGTAATTGTCAATGAACTTAGTACGTACTATAAAGGATTGACTACGACAAAAACAAAAAAAAAAAAAAAAAAAAAAAAAAAAAAAAAAAGTGTAACTTGTAAAACTTTAATAATAATTAAATTAGCTAATTTGAAAAATAAACACATAAAAAGCAAAATCATAGTGGTGGAATAATATACATACCTAGATCCGAAGCGGCTAGCCGAATGTACAAATCTTGTCCACCTTGAACATAATCTCTCATATCCGTTAAATTATCGGTCCAATAAACACACCCATTGCCAACCCCTTGAACCACATTCAAATTAGCATAAGCAGTACAACTACAATTCCTCTTGCACAAATTTCTACATTGATTAAGGTTTAACCCTTCATCTACAAAAGCAGTTGTACTCTCAGGTAATTTCATATTTACCAACTTCAAAAAACCATCCTTCCCACAATCCAACTCGGTCTTTCGGACGCACCCACTTGACCCGTCTCTCAAATCCCAATCTCGAGGGTTCTTCGGCTCAAACCCTTGTGGACATTGGCAATCGAAAAAGCCACTCGTGTTGCACACCGAGTACGGACCACATACCCTATACGTGTCACAATCGTCCGACCTAGCATACCAATACCTAGTCCATTGTTTAGTATTTGGCACCCACGTAAATCTTCTAAGGTACCCGTCAAAAGTTACCAATAACCTTGATTTTACCTCACCACCCGGAGGTAATTCAAACGTATAGTAAACTTCATCCGGCCCGCGGTAAAAAGTAAAGTTAAAACCATTGTTACCCGTTGCCATTTCAGGCACCCCACTAAAACGTTGCCCGACCCATGGTCCGCTCCGATAAATTATTCTATCCTCATACCTCATATAAATTTCCGGATCACCGTGATAATCCATTTTAAAGCTATAATTACCCGTACTCGGGTCATCCGGTCCCGCCCACGAGGTTAAAAACCGGTCGAGACCCGTTTTAAGATTCCACCCGAGTTTTTGACCCGGAATGAGAGTATCAGTCGGATGATCAAAGCTCTCCCATAAATATCCACCCGAGCTCGAATCCCCTGCTTCTCGGATCACCAAATTCCCTGAATCCAACAACTGTAACACCGGATTTTTAGCCGTTGATCCATTAATCTGCCAACGAACATGAGACCCATAATCAGCAATTACAAGATTTCCTTGATCATCAAATTTGAGGGTGCAGGAATCACTCAATGAAGGAGCGTCTCTGTTTGCAACCCAAACATAAACATTATCTGAAGGAATATCTTTGTACCAAATTCCAAGATAATATTTTTTGGGATTTTGTTTTGTGAAAAACCCCAATTCAAATTTCCCAGTTGCTGAAATTAGTGTTTGGTTTGAGGAGAGAGATTGTGTTGAAGTTAAAGTATCAGTTGATACTGAAAAAACAGGGGGAAAACAGAGGAGAAAGATTGCTAAAATGGTGGATTTCATTCTTCAAAGAAACACCCAAATTTTTCTTTATTTTGGGTTTTTAATTTAATTTTGGGAGAAGTTGGTTTAATGATTTGGAAAGTTGTACATTTTTTTTATTTTTTTTAAGAAGAGAAGTTGGATTTTGTCTGAAAATACAGAGTGTCAAATAATTCTACTGGTACTATTATTATTTGGAGGCTGCTCTGCTTTTTTCCAGTCTTAGTCAACTTTTTGTGTTTATATTTATGATTCTATGTGTACAAAGTAATTCGTTCTCACGTGGATTGTTTTACCTTTTTAATAGACTCCTATTTACAAAAGTTAAAAAGACAATGTTGTAGATGTGATTCGATTTTAAGTTTTTGATATTACGTCGGTTTAAAATTTTATGGATGGAGCTAGTTTGGTGTCTACTAATGTGGATTGTAACTAATAAGTAAAGATTTAGCCTAATGTGGGCCATTTAATTTTTTCTAATATTGTTATGATTTTTTTTCTTAATCAATTCAGCAATCATGAAAAGGGGTTGGAGGATATTTTGATTCCTTAACAAGGACATAACTAGTTAGGATTTGGGGCCATAAATTTGATCAGTGAATCGAGACGATTTTTATTTTTCAATCTTGAGATGATTCATGGTATATATCATTATGGGTATAGATTTTATAGGATCATAGTGAGTGGAGCCAAAACATAGATAGAAAGAATCAAAAATGATAATGAAGTATTCATTTATAGAAAATAAAATTAATTTCTAAAACATACTCAAATGTGATAACGAGTTGCTTGACCTAATAACCGAACTATTACACAAAATAAACTTTTAATTCAACTATTGACTCAACTCAAACTTAACCACCAAAGCTCCAACTAATAATATATTTGTTAAACACATTTTTTTTTTAGAAAGTATTTTTTTTAATAATTAGGGATATGTTTATGAAGTTTTTTTATACACAGTAAGATACGAGGGGTGGTGGCTAGTGGGGATTAAACTCAGGTTACTCTTGGAGGAGATGGAGGATTGGAGGGACAAACCCTCTCTCCACTCTGTGATCCTCGATTTATATATTTATTTACTTTAGTTCAATGATAACGGTATCTAAACTCACTTATGCTATGTTTTTTCACCTTCATGAACTTATGTAAAACTCCTATTCAATTTAGTTGCTTAATCTTAATCTTTTTGTTTCGTGTCCCACATTATATTAGTAGGTCAATTCTCGATTTTTTTTAGGGTAATAATCCGTTACTCTATATTATTTTACTCCTCTCCTCTGCCTTTTGCTCGTCCCTTAATATCTTTCATATCCTCTACTTTAAATAAAAATTTATCTCAGTATCTCTCGCTACGTATCCCTTTGTTATTATTATTATTAATAAGGTAATTATGTCCTACATCTATATGTCCCAAAATGAGATCACTACATTTGGATAAAGTAACTATAAATTATTCTTGTTTAAATCATAATAAATCACAAAAATTAAACCAAAATATAACAAAAAGCTTCAAATAGGATGACTAGGAAAACTTTGATTAGACTACATATAACAAATTAAAACCAGATTACCTTATTTCGAGTTAAATAAGCATAGCTTTTGATATTAATAGTCACATTCTTAATATTTGATTGAATTAAATAAATTAATGATTATAACTTCACATTTGGGATTGTAAATGTATAAAACTATAAAGTTATATGTTGTACAAGTGTCGTGTTTTTTGGTAATGTATTTCTTGTTTACAAACGTCGTGGCTGTACAACATACTACCTATCTTAATCACTAATTATTAAGCAAAATCTTACAAGAAAAGGATTGATTATTTGTATCACAGTAATTTGGTGGATGTATTTTGGTCTGAAAGGTCTATATTACTTGGTCATGTATGTATTTTGGTGGACTAATTTTAATTTACAAATGAACATTTTCAAATTAAATATTCTTTGGGTCAACAAGCTACCACCACTAACACCTTTGATAATAACCAAGATTTGAATAATTTGGTAGTTTATTGAAGAAATAGCTGCAACTAATTGAATTTTAAGTGTGATTATCTTGACCTATTGTTATGATATTTAATGGTTTTAGATGAAATTTTTCTTCTTCTTTTTTTTTTTTTTTTTTTTTTTTTCCCACTCAAAACATGGTGTATACCTTTGAAATTTGTTGAATAGCTAAGGGATGAGCTATTGAGCTATCTCAACGTAACATACTATGAACTGCTAAGTCGTGTTAGGGTGACAATCAAACTTAAATATTGAGAAAAAAAAAATAAAAAAAAAATAATGCAGAAATCGAAGACATTTTATTATTTGCCTCAAGGAGTAAACTTAATATCTAATGATGTAAACCAATATTGGTATTAGGCCTGAAGTTGCTTTTGAAAGATTTTAACCAGTTAAACTATTAAGCTAATCACAGTACAAAAGCTATACCAAGTTTTTGTGTAGATTATAGTTAGTGATCTAAGTATAGTTTTATAAACAAGACCTAAGCTAGCCAAGCTAAAAATAAGTTCATACTTTGTAAAATATGTTAGGAATAATATATTTTCCTATATTCCTAACATAATAGGTTTAGATAATAAGTTACAATAAGTTCAAGATGAATGTCAAAAAAAAAAAAAAAAAAAAAAAAAAAGGAATATTACATACAATCTCACAAATTCTTATATAAAGTTAGCCGTACATGCAATGGCGGATCCAGGATTTTCGAGCTTGTGAGTCACCCTGAATTATTGATCACCTGTAAAAGTACAAAAAAAATTTCGAATGCAAAAATATTAACAAAGGAAATATATATTACAACCAACTTGATATCAATCAAACAAATAAGACATAAAAATCCATACTACAACCAATAGTACTTAAAAAATTCATCTTACAAACCGAAAGTACTACAAATAATATATTACAAGCACATAGTACAATAAACTATTACAATTGTTCACGACGAGTTTTCATATTTTGATATCGATCTATAATGTGATCTAGCGATATTCTGCATTTTATTTGGAGTACGTTTTCGCTTCATTCTGAAAATCATTTAAGAAATAACAAAAAATTCAACAATTCAAATATACAATCAAATAATATATACAGAATTTCAGTTCATTTGAATACAAATAATACAATCAATTATCAATCAAATCTGAAACAAATCAAACTATCAAAGTATCAAACAATAAGGTCAATAACAAACTAATTAAGACTACAAATTAAAGTACCAATATTACCAAATAAAACTCAATTCAATTCAACATTTTAACACCACAATGAACAACCTGTCAAGACTATGAAATTATAAATGACTAAAATTATAAATAATTAGTAATTAACACAACAATGAACAACAAATCAATAATTTAGTTCAATTTAATCAATCAAATGACAAAAATTATACATAATTAAAATTAAAACTAAATAACAAATTAAATAGTTCATAATTTAAATTTTAATACAATAATACCTTGCTATGCTTCCGTGCTTCAGTCGGTGGTCACTCCAGTCGGTCAGTCGGTGGTCGCCGTAGATCCGAGGGCGGTGGCGGTAGGCTTGTAGACAGGAGACTACAATCACAGATCTACATCAAAACAAAGACCTTGAAGGCTTAAAGGAGTGAAGCGGTGGCCTGGTGCGTACGTGCGGACGGTGCGGTGGGCTGGTGGCTTGTCCGACGTTGGCGGTCGGCTGGCTGAGTCGGTGAGTCAGGTGTGAGAGAGGGAGTTAGGGTTGCGAGTTGTGACCACTACTAGAATCCAAGTAAATTACAACAATTTGATTACGACGGCCCATAAAATTGTCGCAAAATTTGAATTTTACGACAGTTTTTACTAGCTGTCGTAAATTTACGACAGTTTTATGCCTCGTCGCAAAATTACGACGGTTTTAGACTATTTAAACCATCGTTGGGTATCTAAAATAAAGGTAAAAAAATTAAAATATCTACGATAGCTTAAAACTGTCGTAAAAATGTTGCATTACGACAGTTTACAATACCGTCGTTAGTAGCGATAGCTTTTAGCTGTTGGAGAAAATATTTTTTTAAAAAAATAAATAAATAAATACTGGTATAAAACCCTCCATTCTCTCCCCAGCTACCCCTAAAATGTTGATAGCCGCCCCATCCTCCTCTATCTTCTCTTTCTCTCTTCCTTCTCTCTCTTTCTAGATCTCGTTCCCTCTCTCCTTCTCTTTCTGCTTCCATCTCCTCCTTTCATCTCTCTGTACTTCAATCTCCTCCTCTCATCTCTCTCTCTCTCTCTGCTTCAATCTCCTCCTCTTTTCCTTTCTCCATTCTCTAATAAGATGTTTAAACTTTTTCATTTTTTTTCTTTTTATTATCTTAAATTTTTTTTTTACGAGTTTAACTTGATTCAACCATGAAATTCAACCTAGGTTACGAACTACACCATATAATCAACCATAGTTTCGAAGCTAAGGGTTTTTAGGTCAAATTCGACCATGAAATTAAAATTCTAGATCTGGAGTTTTTATGGTCGAATTTCACCAAATAAGCCCATAGGAGATGAAATTTGGGATAGGTATGTTGATTTTTGTGTAATTTTTGTTTTTGTAGTTGTGGTTTATGTTTATTTTTGTTTCTTTGGTGTATTTTTCTAATTATGTTGATTTATTTTTGTTATATACGATTTTAATGGCTGATTTTGTCGTTTAATTTCGATTTTCTTGGTTGATTGTCGTTTATTTGAACTTTATTTTCGATTTTTTGGGTTTATTTTGTTTGAATTAACTTAAATATTGTTTTTGGGCTTTAACTTTATTATTGTTTGTGTTTGTTTTCATTTATTTTTGTACAATTTGATGAATATTCATGTACTTGTATTTTTTATTTCAAGATTTTTGATTTTTTGGATTTAATTTCAGATCTTTGGTTTTTTGTGGGTATTTTGTGTTTTTCAGGGTTTAATTTTGTGGTTTACGGTAGCGGCGGGTGGTTTGTGATGGCGGTGGGTATTTACGTGTTTTTAGGGTTTAATTTGGTGGTCTGTGATGGCAGTGGGTGGTGGTTTGTGATGGCGGTGGGTGGTGGTTTGTGAAGGTGGTGGGTGGTGGTGGTGGCTTGCGGTTGGGCTACTGTGGGTGAATGGTTTGAATTAGGGCTACTGTGGCTGGGTTGGGGTTTTTTTATTTTTTGCGACGGCCGGCCTTCGCTAAAGTTAAATTTTACGACAGTTTTTTGTTGTCATAGTTTACGATGGTTTTAAGCTGTCGTAGCGTAATTACAGTGACAAGATATAAAAATGTCGCTGAAATTAGTAAAAACCGTCGTAATAATTTTTACGGCAATCAAACTGTCGTAAA